TATTTATAGCTTTGATTAGAGAATGGAAATTACCGTTACGTTACCAAGTAACTAATCATGGATGCATGACTAATTACCCGATAATGGAAAATCATGAGCTCTTATAAAGTTTAGTTTAATCAAACACTTTCAGGATCGAGTAAACTTGAGTGAGAAACTGTTTACAGATTCAAATTCCTCGATCTCGAAGGCCTTTGATCGGACTTTATAAAAAAAAGTCACGATTTTTCTCTTCAATGGCTATTTTTAACACAAAACTCAAACTCAAGTATTTTCTGTTGCCCCATTACTGGATAACGGTAACCTTTCACCTCTAATCATCGTACGAGATGATTGACACATTGTTTCAAACTTAAGAATTACAGTTTATGTGAAAAATTTTGTTTTTATTGAGAACTTGTGCAGAATTACATGGAAGATTACATATTATTGAATGATTTTCAATTCATAAAAAATTTTAATCATAATCGAAATTCTGTCTTTTCTATGTTGTAGTGTGACGATAAAAATAACTCATTTGTCATTTCTTATAAATGTAAAAAAAAATGAAACTTTATTTCTCGTTTATGCATTTGAAGCTAAATGATTCAAAAATAAAATATAAAACTTCATTCGCTTTTTTTTTTCTAATTAATTCACATACAATTGATATGAACCAATAAAAAACTTCTAATCTATGCTATTCTCTCAATATTTCATTGGGAAAAATATTTTTATTTGTATGAATGAGATGACGTATAATTTATGTGTTCTTTTTTTTTTAATAAAGATATTTACCAACTGTCATTTCATTCAATGTATTTTTCAAAAAAACAAAACGACAGATGAATAAGGAAGAACCATTTACTATTGTTTAATTATCATTTGAATAAATATTCATTCGTAATTATTGGAATGAATTCACTTTGAAATATTGTATGTTTTATTTTTAATATCTATAATAAAATAGAGCACCTTTATGTCTAGTGACTTGTACGAAAAAAGACCAATAGTCATACCTCTCGTTACTCATGCAAGAAAATAATAAAAAAAGTTTGAAAAAAAAAACATCAGATTGTTGTTGCTGTTGTAGATATGTGTTCCATTTGGCATTTTTTTTTTCTTCAGATTTTATAAAAAGTTCACTGTCATATTTCGATTTCGATTTTTATTGAAGTTATATAGTTGATATATAGAAAATCATGAGTTTTCACATTCGCTCAGGTGTCGTTATAAAAGCACCTATCTCATGTTCATTATGTTCTCGCATTTTGATCTTTTTTTTTCTTCCTTACGTATGCGAACTACAATATGTCTGTATGTCAGATGGAAGAAAAGTGAATAACTTACTCATAGTCGTCACATGTTTACAGAAGATCTTTTACCGCTCTTCTCTTCACTAGCTGATCTTCGAATGAGGAATAAGAGAAATACGAAAGATGTGAATGAAATTCGAACATGTATGTATTGTCACGATTTTCCTTGTAGATCAACACACTGAAGATTGGTATTCTTGTGAGAGAATTAAAACTACGCGAGCTATGCTGGCGACAAAAATATAAAACTTCTTCTTATGGAATCTATATCTTGAGATACTTCTAGCCAGAGTCGAACTTCTTGTTTCATGTTTCTTCTCTCTATTCTGTATGGGTATTTTCGTTTATGTGAATTTTTTATTAAAACTATCAAAAAGCAACGAAAGTAAAATAAATATTAGGTAGTATTAGAAGTTGAATGGGTTCCCAAGTGAACAAAAAAATACTGATGACGGGCGACATAACTAGTCCAAAATGTCCTGAATACCCATCAGGACTAGTCTGAAGCGTCTTTTTTACCCGTCCAGACCAGTCATGTTTATGAAAAGTGTCCTGCAACTACTTATGGACTAGTCTAGAATGTCCTAGAAACCCGTCATGTCTAGTCTGTATTATCTGTTAATCCCGTCCAGAGTAGTCAGGAGAATAGAAAAAAAACTGGAAAGGTGAATTTGAACATTCGACTCGACAATCTTCAATATCTGACGGGCATCCTGACGACAAGTCATGACGCAACAATAGACTTACGTCAGTTTAGATAGTCTAAATATCAAAATGACGCTCGTCCATTTGCTGGACGGTTAAAAACTAACCAAGGACAAGCGACTTGACTAGTCTGACAGACCTTAGTGAGTAGTGAGGAATAGTCTGAGCCGTCATGCAAACAAGCCTTAACTAGTGTTTTTCTGAAAATGTATGATCAATCTCGGTCCATATTAAACTTTTTTGAACAATCAGTTTGATTCAGTAAACTTTTCGATCTGATTCCTCTAAGCTTGGCCACTGATGAAAAGAAAAAAGAAGAGAATAGAATGCAAGATATTTTTCAATATCTGTATTACTTGTTCATAATAACTGACGAATAATGAAATGTTTTTAAAACATAGTTCGTATAGTAGAATAACAATCAATTTATTATCTATCTTTTACCTAGCATGAAATAGTTTTAGGAAGAACGTTCGTAAAGAATTGCTTCCATCATTGTTATTGAGCCTTAAGGTTGGACATTTTTTAACTCATTATTTACACTTTATCTTACAAAAACATCTCGACTATCCTTTTAATTGATTCAACTAAGCAGAGAAATTTTAAAATAAAAATTTAAATCATTACATTGTATGCCGACAACAATGGTAATAAGATATAAGATATGTATTTTTGTCTTCTACTCAGAATACTAGAAATTGACATTATAGACTTATCATATAGTATTGTGTGAGAATATGTCTTTCTGTCTAGAATCAACTGGCAAGTATGATCTACTATATTACGATTGCGAATATTAGCCACAATTATTAAATTTGTATTATTAGAGAATGTTATCGCGGTTGATTTTTTTCCCATGAAAAACGAAAAAAATTTACGAAAAGTCCCTCAACGTTAATGGTTTTTATAAGATCATTTTATTTTANAGATCTGTAGCTTGTTCCTGAGCCAAATGGCAAAGCCCTCTTTGGAGCCTACTTTCGAAAATTTCCCAACTTTGTACCCTCCTCAGATACAACTACGAGAATTCCAAAACCTGTCCTATAGTGGAACTTCATCAGCATACCTAGCTCTACCAATTCCTAAAATGTTCGTTTTTGCCCAATGCGATTTGGCTGAGAAAAGCAATCTAAAAATTCCATTATCTGGACTAATAAACAGCTTCTAATTCTGACTTGGCTGACTAAAGTTTTCCCGCAGAAAAGACTTCTGCATAGAGGAATAAAAACGACACTAATCAATACTAAAAACGTCATACATAATGCGTTATAATTTCCCTATACTGTGTAAGAAATCTTAACAACGATAGACAGTGATTTCTTATTAGGGCCTAGTAACGATACTAACTTGAAGTTCCTAGAAAAAATTGCATATTTTTCTTCAGGTAAAACATAATAAATAATCTTATATTTATAATCAGCATGAAAATTTACCTTGGAAGTGACCTTTTCGCTGAAAACAATCATTATGGTATAGTATTGACAATAGTTATAACAATGCATTTTTTTCACAACTTTAAGATTGCTTTTCTCAGCCAAATCGCATTGGGCAAAAACGAACATTTTAGGAATTGGTAGAGCTAGGTATGCTGATGAAGTTCCACTATAGGACAGGTTTTGGAATTCTCGTAGTTGTATCTGAGGAGGGTACAAAGTTGGGAAATTTTCGAAAGTAGGCTCCAAAGAGGGCTTTGCCATTTGGCTCAGGAACAAGCTACAGATCTGTGGATTTCAGCTTTAGATAGAGGACATTTAGACGATGCAAGAATACTAATAAAAGTTAATATTCTGTTTGGGCTTCATAGAGATATCCGAGCCCAAATATCGTCAAAAATTAGCATTTTCTGTAACGCTTTCCCAAAAAACAGAACACGGGAGAAAAAACATCCGCTACAAAAAATGATCACCTAAGTGAGTAGCATCTATGGTAAAATTTTCAGACTTCTATCATTTGAAATAGAAAAGCTAGCTAAAGTCCAGTTTGGCTGGGAAAACCCACCTTGACCTCCTCCTTTGGACCCCTTCACAAGGTTTTAAATTTTTTTTGACCCTATGGCTATGCTTAGAGTTACTAGCCCTACAAACTCAGAAAGTTTCATTCCATTCAGTTAAAGTCGATGTAATTGTGGTACGTTCTCGAAAGAATTACCCAGAAACTTTCATTTTATTTTGATACTTTATTATATGAACAGTTTTATGATCTTAAGAAATGGAAATAGTTAGATCAAGATAAAAAAAATTTTCGATATCATCTTCGTAGAATTCTGTATTCAATTTACTGTGCGAGTTACTAGTAAAATATTGCCTGTAATTGTTATATTATTTAGAATGATTGTCTCACAAGAGAATGAATTAGATTTGTTCTGAAATATTTCATTATAAAGGTTAAGAACACCTTTTATTTAGACAACAACACCGAAAAATGAAGAGAATCCATGCCTATACCAACTTCAATTGGATGCGGGGCTGTATGATACGGGAGAAATTTTTATTAATGATCAATCTAGATTTCATAAAGTTAAAGATTACCAAATTCGCATATCACAGACACGAATGCTTGCCCCTACTTCTCATTATGAATGCACTACGCTTTATCAGCTTGGAACAGATCCAATAATGACCGATCAATATCTGTTTGGTAGCTATTTTAACAAAAGTTCATATGGACTAACGCCTCCTGGTATGAAGATATTTCAGTCTATCCATATTTTTAAAGTACTTAACTATTTCAGGAATTGACATAATGTTTTGGAATCATCTGTGCATTTTTCCGTATTTTTTTATTAACATGAAGACTTATGATAAGTTTGACTCATTTCTCAAACAATTTGTCATCGCCATACAAGAACGAAAACGAGGAATTTCCTGTGAAAACCTTAACTTTTTCTTTCAGACTTGCCGTAAATACTACAACATAATCGAACATATAATTAAACAAGATCTACCCGCACTTAAAATTCTCATTCGTATCATATCGGCTTTACCCATTAATCAAGAAAATATGATAATTAGAAGTGAAGCAGCTGTTCTATTTGCATCAATCGTTCTTAAAGCTTTATCAGAAAAGATTCAGACTCTCTGGCCAACAATTGTTGACACAGAATGGTTGTCGTTTTGTGAAGGTCTAGCAGTACTATACTGTATGAAAGTACTTTGGCATCAAGATTCTGAAGAAAAGGAAAATGTGTCTTTTAATTTACTTTCAATGATACCCGACAATGGACGACAACAAGAGGTAGCAACGAAATTACTTAGTTTACTCAGTGAATTTCGATGGGTTCCGAAGAAAAATCAAGAAATGGCTCTTTATAAATTAATTAATCGAGACCATCTTACATTAGAACATCTCGAAGTGGCTGCTTCATTCGAAACATATACTAGTTATCTGACTCAATTTGTAATAGCTCATCAAAAAGATGGCAATGAATTGCAAGAAAATATTCAAATACAACTTAATAAACTACTGAAAGAAAACCACTTTTCATGTAAGAAATAAAACAGAAATGAAATAACGCTTTATTGTTCTTCTTTAGTCGAACTTGCAGATATTGTATTCGTTTTAAATTATATGAAAACTCAAACAAACGAAATTCATGATGGTACCACAACAGCTGTAATAAAGCTAGTTATATCTATCTTTGAAAAAAATGACTTACTTTGGGACACAATAATAAGAATTTTGAATGAAAAGAACTACCATATTTCGTCAGACGAGTTTCCACTCACTCAAAATATTATCTTTCATTCTTACAATCCATATTTTTTGCATGGTATTAATCTTCAAGAATATCTTAAGCGCATGCTCAGCCGTCGAGATGATCGAACAATCGATTACTTTATTGAGTGGTTTCGATATTTTCTTTGTGATTCTATTCCAGATTGGCTGGACTCTCAAAGTCTACTTAACGATTGGACGGAATGCTTTGTTTCAAAAAAAGATTTATTCTTAAAAATTATTGAAAAAATTGACGCTCTCATTGGTTTGTGGACAGACGCTGCACCACAAAATAATCAACGTTCACTATTTTTCTTGAAACATATGGTAGCTCAATGTTTTCGACAGGGTAAGCATGATTGTAAGCTTACTATGATTTATCCAAACACCCTGGATTCAATGAACTATTCACTGAAAATTCATTCATCTAAACCATTTTTCGCTTCCCATCGAGCAGATAGATGGTTATAGGCGAATTAGAGGCCATTAAAATTGATATACTAGCAATCTTGATTCGAAGATCTATGCTAATCCTTAGATATAATGGATCAATTCTTTTCAGAGAGTACATAATGTTGCACAGTTCGATATAGTCGTATTTTGTTTGATTAATATCTAGCATATAAATCGAAACTTTATTTCGTGGTATGATATTCTTGAGAATGTACCAATCTTGAATATATATTTAACTCAACCGCAAATACAAAAAAGGAATGAGTATATTGTTGTTTTGTATTAAGTAGAATACTAAAGTTAGGCATGTACCGAGCCCCAGCAGCTAGAGCTCGATGAGTCTCCGTAAGAGTTCTTTCGGGTTTGGCCTTAGTTTCCTTTGACCTAGATTTGACTTAGGTGGCACCAATCTGAATTTTTAGAAATAGAATTTTTACAACCCTCCTTTCAGTGCAGCTATCATTTAATAAGAACTGATTTCAATTACAAACATCATAGTGATATTAATGGATAGCAGAAACATTCTAAAATTTAAATAATCGACGTCAAGTTAAATTGAGATACAGTGACCTCAAACGTGGCTGAGTTCGAGTAGCTCGGCCAAGGCTTGGGCTCGGTACATGCCTAACTACAATCGCCTCATGCGAATTGTGTTGAAACATACTCAAATAAATTTAAGTTAGGTTGAAAAACACAATAAAAACGGTTCAGTGTTGTTACTTGATGTTTTTTTTTGAGTGAATCTTCATGCACGAACAGTCAAAAAATTCTCTTTTATACTTTTGATTTCGAAAACAAACTAAGTTCGAAGAATCTAGAGTTGAGATTCTAAAGTCAGAATTCGAGCAAAGATATTCACTTCAATATGACCTGTAACAGTTTCTTGGATTTCGGACACTTTGTTTATGCACTTCGATCCATATTTGATGCAAAGAGAAAAGTTTCTTTGAAGAAAAATTTCACATTATTGAAACAACTGTGTTAGAACCCTACCCAATGAAAGTATACGTCTGAATCTATTTAGAAACAAGAGCTTTTCATATTATCGCCAGTTATCTCGTAGCAAATATAGACAGAAGACATGTGAAATTTTTCTTACAAATTGATCTACTGATTCGATAAGGAGAAAAAATGGAAAGTGCATGACCCAAAAAAACTAAAATCATGATGATCTTAGACATGAAAAACGGTATTCTTTCATGCTTTATTCTCACTTATTCTGACTAACATTTAAAGTGTCGTTGCTGAAGTCGAGCAATAACAATAAATTTCGTGATAGACGTTTTTGTCTGCTACTTTTTTTACGTACAAATTCAAATGCATTTTCATATTGTTTTTATTTGTATAGATAACATTTATAATCTGATCAGAGACAGTCTATATTCAGTGCAGGACACAAAGTTTATTAATATTTTCAAAGACAAATTCTTCAACGAAGAACTAGCATATAAGAAACATAATCTCAAAGTTACACAAAGTCATCTAAATCCGCTGTTTCATTTGATGAACATCGATAGACTACAAAATAGAAAAAGTAAATTAGTGAAAGAATTGATTGCATCTACTGTATCGTTGATTGACATACGTCAAGACGAGATTTTTAACGATACTTTTTATTTTGCATCGCCGGAAACATTCACTTACGCTGTTTTGTTTAATGAATCACTGAGATCACTTTCAATTTACGAACAAATAATCACTTACATGAAAAATAAATGGAAATTCTGGGAATCCAACGGTGTTCTAGCCTATGATGTACGAAAATGGCAAGGTTTCACAATGGAACAAAAAACTATTATTCGTCATATATGGACACCAGTTATTCCAGCTACGGAACCAATACATCCACTTGATGGTCTATTCGATGATACTCATCGAAAATTGAAAGTCAAAATGGAAATAAACGATAAAGTAGTGACATGTCTCAATGCCTATTGCCAGCAGGCGAGTGATAAAGAAGCGTATCATCAACTAGTTCGACTATGGCATGATCGGTTTGACAGAGAAATTATTCAATCGATAGAAATACCACCAATACTAAAACAGATTATCCCATTCGCTGACAAACTCAATAAATTTGCAAATGTACGTAGTTGGCGAGCGTTTCTCAACCAGAAAATGACAATCAATGGTAAGTTTTGAAACATTACCTTCTTAAGGATATTGTTTTGAATACGTTTCATTAAAAGATTCTTCTATTGAAACAATACATATGAGCCAGTCCACGTAAGCCACGACCGAAGTTGCTCAATCGATATCATCAGAACTTGCTCAATTTAAGATATGTTATAGAGGGAAGAGTTTTATGATTTTTGACGCAAGCCGATTCAAAAAATATTGAACCTTCAATTTTTTATGAGCGTTTTACGAAAAGGCCTAAAAATGACCATATATATAAATGGGGGTCCTAATGCAATGATATCTCACGAATGGCTCAACCAACTGAGCTGAAATTTTTTATTACCATATATCTCAGTGAATTCTATTTACCATAAAATTTTCGTTTTCAAATATTGAGCTATTGGAATTTTATGAAGCACTCAATATATGAAAAAAGGTCCATTTATGATAACTTTGGCACTTCATAACTTTTGATCAGAATGATATATGGCTCTCAAATTTTTACTGTTAATAGGACACTGAGATATGTATCTCTCCTGAAAATTTCAGCTATCCATACCGTTCCATTTGCTCAGGGCAGCCCCGTGAAAAACAAAATTTTGATAAATGTGGGGACTTTCAGGATAGGCTTTCTCCCAAGATATGGATTGTCTGGGACGTTGGTTATTAGAACTTTGAAGTACTCTCTTTGGGCTACAATTCTGTAAAAAAATTAGCGTGGGATCTCCGAGATTGACCCCCGTGGACTCAGGGGAAAATACGAAAAAATGAGCCTTTTTGATAGGAAATCTACACAAGTGCACTTCGGAGTTCCTCCAAGGAATTGAGTATTTGATATAAATTTTATGTAGTGGAAATCAGCATTAAATTCTCTATTACCCTGCATCAAAATATCCTTTCAAAATAAAAATAAAAATTTTTTACAAAAAGGGTGTGGATGGGTGTGGGGGGTGGGTGTGGGGGTGAGTGTGGGTGGTGTGGGTGTGGGTGTGGGTGGGTGTGGTGTCGGTGTCGGTGTGGGTGTGGGTGAATTGAACATTTATACCAACACCAATAACCACACCCTCATACTAACACCCACACCCACACAACAATACCCACACCCACATACACCCACACACCCCACACCCACGCCCACACACACCCTCCGATCGATTATATATTGTAATATAAACTTTCGATTCATTCTATAAAGATTGATTCATGTGAAGGGAAGGATTTATTATTGAAATTATGTTATGTCAGTGCTGAATTTCCTTTTTTTCTTATATATGCAGCATGTTCATCAAAAAATGATCCATTTGATATTGTACTAAGACGAATGATTGATGAAGAAAATAATATTTGTTTTAGTGAAAATATAAATCATTTGAGTTTACGGTTGATTCATGATTTAAGAAGAATAAAAAGTGATTATGAAATACAAATAAATGACAGTTCATTGCCAGATATTTATTAATGGATTCAAATCATTCGAGAATATCCTATGGTGCGTGAGCAAATGATAGCTATTAAACAAGAACAAGAAATCATAATGAAACAATATGATTATGAATTATCAAATGATTTGAGCAAATAGATAAGTTAATGAAATGATGAATTATTTCAAGATTATTTTAATTCATGATTTGATTATTATTGTTACATGTTTTAAAACTCGAAATTGGCAAAGAACTTCCATTTACAATTTTATCATTTAAAATGAAAAAAAAACGATTCTATTGTGTAATTGTTCGTCGTTTCATAACTTTGAATAATGATAATTGACGAGACTTCTTATTTTGTAAAACTCAAGAAAATATTCGCTCAGTTTTCGACCACTAAAAGACAGTTGATTTCAATCAGAATTTTTCGATATTGCCGAATATATATTAAGATTTTCTTCCTGTGGTAAGATCGAACAATTATCAGTTAATTTTCTGATAACGTAAAAAAAATGGTTTTGGAGTAGCTCTTAGTTTGTAGCTTGGAACAGGTCCTCCAACTCAACAAAACTGTAAAACATTGAACTCTGTACAAAATGTAATATTACTATAAGCGAAATCTCATCTACGTGTTTCTACTAAAGAACTAGTTTCTATGAAAATTGACATTGATAAAAAAATTCTCTTCCAAGGCTCATTTTTCAATATGTGAAAGTTTACAAACCCGTCATATGCAAAAGTAAATAGTAAGCTTTGAGAAACAAAATTTGTTCTACAAAACTGAACCATTATAGACTATTTCGCATTTCATGATTGAAAGATTTCAATCGGAATTCGAAGTTGACAAAAATAGTGTTCTATTAAACCTTTATTTTAGATCTTTTTCAGATAAAGCTGATGCTATTATTAACATATAATAAATATTCTTCTGATTATGTATATATTGCTGTATTCGATATTCATTGAAAATCCCACGAAAATTTAAAAAGTTCAAAAAATGAATCTTTAGCTGGTAAAAATTTCATTATAGTATCTTCGAGAGTACGAATAAATTTGATATCATGATTAACATGCACATTATGTACAAGTAAATGACATGATTTTATGAAGTAAAAATTGATGATATCATGCATATTTGAATCATTTTCACCTTGTAGATCAAGTTTTTCAGAAAATGTACGTTCAACATAACGCGTATTAAAAAAAAGTGAACCATTATAATGAAATCCAATTCGAACTAAATGAGTCAATAAGTTACATCAGTATTTGAATAGTTAAAATCTTACGGAAATTATTGTTATCAGCATCTCGATAAAGCTTCATCAAAATTACTGGTTTATTAAAGACATATGTGGTAAGACCACTGAGTAAAGGCGCTAATTGTCGAACTCGATTGAGCATTGAGTTAGTTATGTGCACATTTTTTTCTATGTAAAATGAAACATCATGAAAAAGATCCTTGTAAATTTCTAAATTAATATTTTGTGGTGCTTCGCAAGGTTAGACAGTCGTTCTTTTAATCTCAAATTTATCATTTAATGCAAAAAAGTTGTTGTCATTATAAGGATGAAGCACTTGTAAAATAGTCTCATCAATAGTTTCAGCTGTAAGCGAATCATAATCTACATCGTCTAACGTAGAAGCAGTTGTATCATTAGGCTCTTTATGACTATCCAGACTTGAAATCATATAAGTATTCGTTTTGCCTTTTCCAGATTGGTTGATATCGGAATTTTCTAATTTTGTTTGATCTTTAGTATTTGAATTATTCTGACTGTTTTGAACAGTTGTTGTAGGTAGAACTTGCTGTTCCATTGGAACTAGAGCAAAAAAAAATATTGTCTACTTTTCTGTATATTATTTTTTTAAAGAGAAATATTCACCATCTACTGGCTTGGGTGGATTTATACGCAATCGATTGATAGGGTAACCGGATCGTTTAAGTTTTTCCAAAGAACTTTCAAGTTTCACCTGAATTCCTGAAATCATGTCTTCGGTAACGTCATCAATTAAAAAACGACCTAAAGCGCTAGCAATATCCATATATTCTATTGCAGTTTGATGTTTTATATGCAACACAACTCCATCATCGGAGTATTGGATTTCACATGTTCTCATATTGCTCTTCTACAAAATAACTAGTGAAATAATGTATATCTACATAACTTACCGAAAATGATTTCTCTTGAAAGGTCATTTGACAATCGATACTGTCGATTTCATAAATGATCAAACTTTTACGAAGTAATTCAAAACGTTCTTTCTTTAATTTCGGTATTTTTTCATCCTAAAAATATGATATGATAATACATTGATATACATTATTTTTAATAAATAAATTCGTTTACACGTTTGTTAACGACGAGTAAATCAAGTCGTTCCGAGATCAAATTGCATAGGTCCTTTGATTGTTTGGTTTGACGTCGATGACCTATTTAAGTTATTTGAAAATGAACCGCAAATTTATATAAATCTTCGGCAATCGTCGCAATTATTCAAGAGGTATACAGAAATGAACTTATGTAGATTATATGATAACTTGTTTCCATAAAATTGTATTATAGATAAATTTGTCGTACTTGACGCTGTAACCAAAACGATGGTAGCAAATAGTTATCTCTGATCTAGATGCTATGACGAGCCATGAGCTTTGAAGCCAGAAACTCTTAGTTTGATATAAATATGATAAAGACTAAGTACACATCAATGATCTTTCTGTATTAATAGAAATTGATGCAAGAATTTTCGTTGTACAAAATATTTGAACAAAACGCTGCAGATTATTTTTAGAAAACAGATGTCTAGTTTCTGCCTCGACTATTTTAGACATAACATGCTCTATTGTGTATTCGGAGCTATGGTTTAACAAAAAAAGAGTAAAAATCTATTCAATTTGCACACTAATCATTCTGAAGTAATATAATTAGCTGTATCATTTTGATGGCACAATTTGCCGCGGTTAAATATCTGCTGACATACTATGTACGGAAAAGTGTAATACAAAAATAATAATACCTTGAATGAAAAATTCATCTTAATACAGTCTCGTAGCCATTTGGATCCAAACTGTTTGTAAAGTTCATTTAAATTTGGGTTAATAGGAGGACATAATGAACGAAAATACGATGCAATATTAGAGTCATCAACCAGATATATATCGTTTGGTGCTGCAATCTGATAAATCTGTTTTGTATTTTCATTATCATCATTGTAGATCAATCCAAGACACCATGGCTCATTCTGTAGTCTTGTGATCAATGTTTTATCCTTAATTGAGTCTTTAATATTATTATAAGATGCCAGATGTCTAAGATATGTAAAGATGTGTTGACAAATGTTAACACTTGGTTTTTTCCAACTTCTTTTTTTTGTTTTTCGTTCTTCGTTTCTCTTTTTTTTATTACAAAATGCCATCGTAGTTTTATGATCGATTGTTATCCTTCATTATATTGATAATACAAGTGATTTTTGTTCATGTAACTTAGATCTCTGACTGATATATACTGATAAGCTCTTCTTACTTATTTATGATGACGAATATTTTTATTCGAAAATTGACTTTTTACTTTAGTCTACATGAATAAAATATATAATAACGATTTAAAAAAACTCGATGCGCCGTGCAATTTCACATGGGTAAATGAGAAAACAGTCAAAAAGGCAAGAAAAAAGAAAAAACAAACGTTCACACGAATGTTTTACATTGAATTTTTCTCTGAAGTCACTCTACGCGTATCTGTTCTTTGCGAATATTGAATATTCAAAAGAGATGATAGAAAAAGCGATTTTAAAGAAGAAAGAGAATTTTTTTTTCAAATTTTATATTATAATCTAGGATTGAAAAACTCATCTAAAATTGATTCGAAAAATAGAAAAATGACCTAATCTTAAAACATATCAGAAGTTATCTATATTAATCAAAAACATATTTTTATGTAAATGAAATATGAATTTATGTTTCTTTTGTTATCAAATCCAAATGATTGTATTGGAAAAATATGAAGAAATTATAGTTAGCTCTTAATTTTATAGACTTGGAATATTTCTCTAATTAATTGATGATTCGCAATCAGTAATTTAATTTAATTTATTGGTATGATTTAATCACTTATTTTTGACGAAATGCGAGTAATTACAATTTTACGCTGACTTTTTTGACAATCACCAAATACATTGTTCTTGACATATATGAGTTTTCCAAAAATCTGAGATCCTATAGAGGCTTGTAGAAAGTAATCATATTAAAAATTCAATTTGCTTTGTCAAATAGTAAAATTAACCGTAATCCTTTTATGGACTTTTATTAGAATACTATGTATTAGTATCTATAGACCCAAAAAACGTTGAAATCGGAAGGAAGTAGCCATTACCACTGAACAAGTTTCTTCGTAAGTTTATTCACTTTCATTTCTTCGTTGGTACAATCTTCAAAAAAAAAAAATCATCCATTATACTCATTGTCTGTTTTGGTGTTCTTCCAAATGATTTCTATTTCAACCGTCATAGTTTTTGGAAAGAGAGATGCAAGTGATGGTGTTTTTATGTTTGTTGAAAAAATGGTAATTGATTTTGATCGATGTTTTTATTTTTGATGAAGCATTCCTTCTCTATTTTTTGCTCGACAGTTTGATCATCGAACAGTGTATGCATTATGCATCTCTTACTTTCGTTATTGTTTCTGTTGCGCCCATTCAAACATGAATGTTCTTGTAAATCAATTTAAAGAATCTCATTTTGTAAAAAAACCTGTAGGCAAAAAGAAAAACAACGACAACAACAACTAACGATGCGCTTTTGCAGACGATAAAATGCCATTAGCACGTTACTTTGAGCTTATATGAAAAGCATCAGTTGCTTGTTGATGAATTCTGTTTTTTTTTCATCTTATTCATTTTTTTGTAAAACATACTCACTGATAACCGTCTGAACTTTGAGCATTGAATTTAATAAATTTCTTCATTATAATGGCCCGATATCAAAAACCTTATACTAATATAAATAATGCCAGACCACATCGATCAGTAGGGTGAGTAGCTTTCATCTTTCCACTATTGAATGCTTCTCTGTTATTTATCAGACGTGTGGCGTCAAGACCTTTGTCAAATCAGAATTTAGTTGCCAAAATACTTCTAGGTACTGTAGCAGCATTAATGTTATGTGGTGCAGTTGCAGCTGTTGGACTTGTTAGTTACATAGCTGTAAAAGATGCAGAAACAACTACCACTTCTACAGTAACTAGTAAGAAAAATTATTCATTTTTCCAAATTGATGCACAATGCTTGTTTTTTTCTAACATCAGCATTATAAGAATAAATAAGCCTTTGTAAACAACAAATTCACTAATCGAATAATATAGAACATAAGATATTTGGGTGGGGTGTGGGTGTGGGTGTGGGTGTGTGGGTAGAAAAAGAGACAGCAGATACCCACACCCACACCCACACCCCACACCCACACCCACACCCACACCCACACCCACCCACACCCTAAAGTTATGAAAAAATCCCGAAAGAATAATTTATTAAGCAAAATTTAACCAGACATACAAGTGAACTTATAGAGTGATTGTTCCAGTTTTTACATAGTTTATAATTAAATATGCATAACTTTAGGCTTCAGGCGAATGCCAATAAAATTCTCGTTACCATGAGGTGCGATCATCCAGTGAAGATTTAAGAAGTGAGAGGAAAGGGGAACAGAAGTCCTCTAAAAACTTTTGAGTGACACGGCCAGCAGAAAATGAGACTTACTTGCTGTTAGAGTGAGGGACACATCCGCCTGCACTATAGACATAATCAGCATCAGCTAGTGAACCAGTTGCTATGTCTAAAGTACGCTGTTGTCACTTGATATCTTTTTTAGTGGAATTTAATGGACAATCCACACATGGAAACAAAACCTATCTAACTTAGATACTAAGCGAAGAATAGGATCTACAAAGAGTTAGCATCACATAGTAAAAAAATGCATAATCTATTACCGGAAGCCTAGCCAAGCAATAAAAGGAGAAGCCCAGAAAGAGCAATAAGAAAAATAACTGACATAAAACAAAAAGAAGATAGTTATAACTAATAATGCATAAATATAGAAGAATAAAGAGACTAAACACATACACATAATACCTTTAAAAGATTAATGTTGTACGGAATTCCCTACGCACCAGTACCTTCATAACAAGATTATAATAGGAGAGGGTATTTACAAAAATCGAGAGAAGATGTGGTCGAACGTAATGGTACTTCGACACTGTCAAAATTTGATGGACATAATGTGGTCAATTTCGATCGACTTTTACATCAAGATCAAAAACTTTTCTCAATTTTCTACTAATTCGATGAGTATCAGGTTTCATTAGGAAGCCTCAATTTTGTACTGAGTTTTTGAAAACTAAGTCAGATCATTTTCACGTCGAAAGGCAGCAGCAACTTTGATTGTGTTTGGAGATTTTAGCCCTCGTATAAGTTATAGGATCTATTTTACCCTTCTGATAATATTTTTCAAATTTCTTTGACATTGATTTGTTGTCAATAAAGCTGAAGAAACGCATGCACTCACTTTAGAAACTGCAATGAATGATTCTAAATAATGTTGCCAACTAAAAACTAAATTTTCAAAAACACCACCACTTTTTCAAGAAACTAAACGAGCTTCTAGCTAGTTTCACTCTATATAATGCGTAAAGCTGTCGGAAACTCACTAAATTTTTTCCTAAGATTAGACAAAATTGATCAGTGGTTTTTCTTCAAAATGAAAAAAAAACACTATAGTCAAAACTTTCAAAGACAGCAAGATGATACTTTTGTCGGATCTTCACTGTTCCCATCGCTCGATCCTTCCTTGCTCAGTTCGTGTTAAAGCAACACGCTAGTATAAAATAATTCTAGCAATCTCACTCGAAGAATTCTTATAACTAAAATTCTAAGTAGGAGAAATTATTATTGTCATTGCTGCTGTAGATCAAATACAAGAAAGATACTGCAGTATTTAACTCAGAAAACTATCTCTTATTGAGACGTTTTGAACATAAATAAGATAAACTTCTTTCTATTCAATGCATCTCTTTCTTTTTGTATACTTGTCATACATTTTCGAGAAAGCTGATATAATAAAGGATCATATGTACACTTTGTGAAAAGTATAATATCCGCACGATGTTCAACCACGAAATCAGTTAAGAGAAGATAGTTTTCATTCGACGAATGGTCGAAGATTAAGATTATACTCATAAGTAAATGCTCAAAGTCTACTAGTATCCACCATAAAAACACATCGACTTAGCCCATCTCGTAGTTGTCTTAAAAATGTTCAGTTCAGAGATTTTGCAAGACTTGTTTGAATTAAGTTCGACTCATTCGAAGCTCTGATCTCTAGAATCCTACCTTAATCAAACTTGAACGTCTAATAGAGAACAAGTTTTCACTGCCTATTCTTTATTGACACTAATCGAACCGACTAGGACTTTTGCATAACGAAAGACATTGAAAATAGCAGAACATTATTCCAAAATTGCTATACTATCCAAATAAAAATCAAAACAAAGCTTTTTCTCAATATTTCCATTATTTTTTACCTAGCGACATCAGCGACAACGACGACAGCTACCACAGCCACTACTACTACCGCGACTACTACTACTTCCGTCACAACAACAACTACTCAGACTACAATCACCTGTATCTATTTTCTTTCTTCTCAACAAATAATCGAATATTGAATTCTTGTCTAATTTTAGTCAGTGCTGTTGGTATTTATGCCTTAAGCATTCCGACATGTGCTACATGGAATGAGAATGGGACCACGACCAGTGGCAATCAAAATGGATCGTTAGGCTATGATTTAGGATCGCTCTATTATCCAGTTAGTATCTTTATTGATAATGATGATATTCTGTACGTTTGTGATCGAGACAATGCTCGAATTCTCAAATTATATCCTAATTCAACGACAGGAATTATTGTTGCTGGCAATGGGACAGCAGGAAATGAATCAAATCAATTGAGAGGACCGAAAGGTGTTGCTGTCGATCAATATGGTGCTATAATTGTGGCTGATAGCGACAATTATCGCATTCAGAAGTTCCTCCAGAATTCCACAATAGGAATTACATTAGCTTCAAACACTTCATATAATCCTCTTGGTCAAATGAGAGATTTACACATTGATGTCAACAATAATATATATATAACGGATTCTAATAATAATCAAGTTGGTCAATATATTCCTTATTCATCCATGGGAATAGTTTTAGCTGGGGGTGGTCCATCCGGTTCAGGACTTGATCAATTGTATAGTCCATTCGGTAATTTTATGGATGCAAATAATTCATTGTATGTAGCCGATAGTGGAAACCATCGTGTTTTGAAATATCTTCCTGGATCACTAAATGGTACAATTGTTGCTGGGAATGGTACTGCTGGTTCTAGTTTGTATCAATTGAATGTTCCCAGATCGATTATCGTAGACAATAATGGGTATGAAATCTAGTGTTCAATTACGAACAGTAGTGTTTTTGAGAATACTCTTTGATACAAAAGAAGCAGCTGAGTCAGTTAAATTTACTAAAAGTATAAAATTAGTTTCATGACTAAGTAGGAAACATTGCCAACTGATGACCACTATTCGAGTTCATATTTTGCTAATGAATAGCATCAGTGACGGATATAGAAGTTCTTGCAAGTTATGCGTCCTGATGTCTTTCGTCTTAAGTCATAATCAGTTATCTGAATTTCCTGTCTACCACAGGATATTACAAGGAGAACCGAACTAATGAATCTCAAGCTGAAAGTTCGCTGAGAAATAGATCTTATATTTCTTACAATATCGTGAAAGTTCCAGTAAAATTGGACACTTCTGTCCCGAGTCAACTGTGTATTTCTTGCCGCAAAAGACTTGAAAACATCCAAGTTTTCTCGAACACTGAACATCGAAAGAAGAAAACATAAGTTTTAGCTAAAATCTTTTAGAAAACTCTAAGGATTATGAGACCTAGTTCTCAGGAAAACTTGATTGTGAAATCCATCAGTTAACTTCTTCCAATATCGTGACAGAAGACTCTTCATCGAAAAAATGTTTTGAATGTGTTTTAAACTTTTTTTGATAAAGAGCCCAAGAAAAGAATTCACACACTTTACATTGATGCCTATCATCAGACCTTCTAAGACTTGACTGGACGTCGTCGATCTGAAAGTTGATAAATCAAGAGATATCAGAAATTTCTTCTAGCTTGTTGAAAAAATACTTATAAAATACCTGTTAGATTACAAATCGCATAAATGAAGATCTGAACTTTATGATTCTGAGTTTCACTATTAAAATACTAGATACATCTATGTGGCCGATGGAGGAAATTCGAGGGTTGTAAAATGGACCACAAATTATACAGCTGGTGGTGTGTGTATTATGGGTTGTACAGGTGCAGCAGGGACAGCTGTCAATCAAATGAGCGGTCCCAGAGATTTAAAATTCGACAGGCATGGAAATATATACGTCACGGATCAAGCAAATCATCGAATTCAGAAGTATATGATACAATTACCAACGTCACCTTGTTCTAGCAGTAAGTTAATTGATTTAACAAAAGACCGGTTTTGTATATACTTAGATTTTTACTGTTATCTTTGCTTTTTTAGCTGGTTAGACAAAGCTAACAAGAAATTTTACTACAATTCTGACGAAAAAGACATTACAAATTCGTCATATATCATTGAACACACCAGTGTTTGTAAACCTCCGACATATGTATTATAAAAGCATAATTTTTTTTTTAATGTAACATTATTTTTGATATAAAAAGATTTTATTAAAAAAGTTTACCTTTGCGTTTCATAAATACAAAAATACAATGTAATCGTTGAAAACCTATGAAAACTTCCGTCAGAACGATTATTCATTTCATAATGTCTTCTTACTGAGAATAATATTATCACCTGTCAAAGTTTTGTTTACTTGTAATTTTTAATTGAACATTTTCAAGAGAAAATATTCGGCACTTGATTTCTAAGTGAAGCTTTATTCAAATTTAATGAGTGAATTTTTATTAATTTTTCTTTCTGATTTTAACGACGATCGATCAAATACAATCATCCTTTCACTATATCCCTAAATTATAATTGCTAGTCAACCTATTGTTTTTCTTTTCAAATTTTTTCAAAAATTCATTGTTTATGTTACAATTTTCAATCTATTCAATGAAGGACACGTACTAAGATTTTTATTCTAACTGAAAAACTATGCTACTTATCTTATAGATATAATTATATGTTAGATCAACAATATGATCGAGACATCTTCATTCATGGAAAACATTGAATTTTAAATGAAATTGACAAGAATACAGAACAGTGAATGAACTATGCATAAGATCATCTCGTTGGTTCATTGCATTTTTCATCTAACTATAAACCCTGTCAATAGTGCTAGTAACAAAGAATTTATATAAGATTCGCATTGAGTTTGTTCGCTTTCATTTATTTGTCGGTAGAGTTTTCAAATGAAGCCATCCATCTTCTATATTATATTTTACAAGTGTTCTTCGTCAGGAACGTTCACATGATTGGTCACAGAGCGAAAAAAAAGTATACATATATATATGTCCGTCGTATATGTTCATTCATTATGCATGTATATATTTCAGTCATATTTTATTTTTTTACTTTGCTGTCTTTTTCTACGCGTGCAGCAGCAACACATTATAGAACTTTAACTTATTTATTTATTTTGTTACTAACTGACGACCAACAGTTTAGTCCTTACAGTATACAGATTAAGAGAAATAAAAAATAGAATTAATAAACAAAAAAAAAAGAAAAAATTACACTTAATTTAAATAACAGCAAGTGTCACATATTACAGTTTGTGTAATAAAATTGATTAACTNAAAGCTTCTTTTGTTGTTAAATCAGCTAAGAGATATGTATATGTTGATGATTCAGATTCAAATAACTTTTCAAAAAAACAAAAAAATGAAAAACATAAATTATTATGATTTGTGAAAAAAAAAATGAATCTTTGATTCATACTTGTCTCAACATATGTTTAACTGTCATTTCAGAGTGTTTTATCGAACGAGATATTGAGCAGTATAGTATCTAAAACAATCAAAAAAAAAAATAGTGAAGTTTATGGTGGCACTTCTGCTAAAGAAAAAGAAAAGACAAACTTTTATAAATAACTTACTTCTTGTTTTCTTCTTGTTCTGCATTCAATGCATTTACTGCTGTCGTTTATATAGGAGTTCGATACTGCACCCGTACGATCTTTATAAAAATCAGAGCAATGGGTACTTTTGAGGTTAATAAACAAGTAGAAAAAAGTGCAGGGAGACATACGCCATGAAATCATCTTATCATGAGAGAAGGAAAGAAAAATTTTATTCACAAAGATTAAATTTATGCACCATCACCATTGCTATCATGGATGTTAAATACATGGTCGAATAAATATACTTAATAAGAGTTGATGTGGAATTAAAAAAGATATCATTTTCTATGGCAAATATCTAGCAGAAGATATTTTCTGTTAGATATGATTTTGTTTTTTTGCATAAAAATCGTATAAATGAAAAAGAATTTTGTTCTTTATTTCTGTTTATAGATAGTTGTTGTCGAAAGTCTGTTTTAAGAGTATTGAATTAATCATGAATAGATAAAGCATCCTGAGTAATATCGATCGATAGCTATCTTATTCTTAAAAAAATCATAAGAATATAAAAAAGTGGAAATCTTTTTGTCTTTTAGTTTGAGTGTATGTAAAAAAATGATGAAAATCGATCATGTTTATACTAAAACGCGAACACTTTTTCTCTCTTGTGGCTTACCTTTAGAAATGTACTTGTAATTCTAGATTTACATCACTGTTTTTCAGCATTATTCTATTGACAAATACGTTACGATTGACTTGTATTTTTAGATCATATTCTCCACTAATATTAAACGAAAATTAAATTAGACAGAACGACTAAACTGAACATAATGTTGATGTTAGTCTTAGAAGAGAAAAAATTCGATTAGTTTATTATAAAGTATAAGAAAAACAATCCTTTCTTGATGTTGCAATTGATTTTATTATTATAATAGCAAAAATAATACTTCAAAAACTAAAATGATCATCAATGCTAAATCGAATTCGAAGTATATTAAATATATTTTAACTGATATTCGCATGATTTTATATGCCTTTATTTTTGGTATATTTTTTATGAACAAAGACACAGTATTTGTAGCTCCTACTATTCGTAAACAAATGTTATTTCAACGTTTTGCAATGTTAAAAATGTTTCTTGCTGCTGTTGGAATGTCGATGTTAAGCGTGGCCGTCCTTAGTCTCTGTTGTAATAAATTATATAAGAAAATTCTTAATGGTTTTATTGAACATAATAGTCATCGAAGCAGTTAGCTTGAACTACTCATAACCTGTATGTAAGAAGTCTTTGTACAAGATGTTTAATTAAATTTTATCTATTTATAAGAGACTAAACAAAGCTAGAATAATAATTTCATAGTCTGTCTAAATATGTATTCAAAATTTTTATTGTGACGGAAGCAAAAAACGGCGTTCGTATATAATTTTTCATATTGTTCAGTTTTTATATTTTGATAAAACTGTTTTTATATATTTGATTGTGGAGAGAGACTTGCTTTGCATGATACACAATTCGTTTCTCTTTTTAGATATAGTAGGAAATCAAAACTATTCTAAAATCTGATAGAGATAAGTTATGAATAACATAGGAAAGTCTATTTGGCTTAGGGAAAATAACATTTTTGATTGTGCATGTCATCCAAACAACTCGTAAACAACCGATTAACCATAGTTCTTATGCATCTGAGTGCATTAAAATTGTTAAACTCGTAGAAAAATGTGAGATTTTAGTAAAAATCGTGATCCTATGTAATTATGAGAGCGATTAAGCTGCTTGTACCAGTCATAACGGCTTTTGTCACTTAGTTTTTGAGTTTGATTATTTATTAAAGATAGTGACACAAAAATTGTCATTAACTAGAAGACATAATCAATAGGAAAAAGTGCGATGCTATCTGATATAATATACTGTGGCATATTAAATTTTTTTGAATTGAAATCGATCTGTTCAAGACTGAAAATATTAATTTAATATAAAAATTATGAAAAAAAAACTTGATAAAAAAGTAGTAGCCCAAATAAATGAGGTACGGCTGGTTCCAGCCGTAGATCGACAGAGTCGGCGATGCCGAAAATCCATGGATCTGGATGCTGGGATTATTAACCTGGGAAGTGGTTCGAACTATATCTAGAAAGAGCATCACATTCTCGCTCTAACTGCTTTTGAGCTTCTTCAATGACGTTTTACACAAATCTTGGTTTTGATTGTCATCAGAAGCTAGTTCTCAATGAACTAGCTTTCAACTAGAAAAACATTTTTACTATATAGTTCTACAATGACTTATAAATAGACGAAAACCGATCAAACATGTTGTGCACAGATTTTGTATACGTAGATTAGATTTAATTAATAGTGAAACTTGAAAATTTTAGTTCTTCATTATATATTTGATGATACTCTAATTGGATTAGGAATGGTTACATGTGGCAGTTGTCCCGGAACAGTTTTTGTTCAAGTGTAACTATAATTATTATTTGATACTTAATGTTTTGTTTTTATTTTGTATATCGTTTAGTGGCTGAGGTATTGTCAATTCTCTATTTACTTGTTTGGGTGGTGTTATTGGCACTTATTTCTATTATATATTTGTACATAAACGTGTTTCAAAAGAAAAATTACCTTCATTATCTCTTATGCTTCGACGTGTTTGATCGGTTTTCGTCTATTTATAAGTCATTGTAGAACTATATAGTAAAAATGTTTTTCTAGTTGAAAGCTAGTTCATTGNATTTTTTATTTGTACTTAATTGTGTTTTAAAATAAAAATTACCTCTATTATCTCTTATGCTTCCACGTGTTTGTGATTTATTCCATATTCCTAATCTTCTTTTTCATTCGATGTTGGATCTTATCTTTCTTGGTGTTGCCATTGGCTTAGAATTTGCTGTTCCTTGGAAATCAGATTTAAATCCTAATTTATTAGAAAAAGGTACTCTTGATCCAAGTGAAGCATTAGACAATTTTTTAGGTTTGGCTGCTTGGCCACCAACAGCTTGTGGTGTTGGTGTTGGTCTTTTACAATTCTTTTTTTCTTTTTTTTTCTTGAGAAATCATTAGAAATTTCATTAGCATTTACTGTATTTGCTGCACAAGTATGTCGCATTAAAATAATTGGTCGACTATTACCATCGTTGAATTCATTTGCCTATAAAGTTAAAAATCATGTTGCAATTCTATTTGCTTTGGGAGCTATTGGTGGCAGTGCTCTACCGGCAGGTCTATCAAAAACAATTACATTAAATTCAGAAAACGGAACAAATATATTTAGTAGTATTCTTGGAGGATTTTTATTGCTCTTAGGAGCACGATGTACTGATGGATGTTCGAGCGGTGAAGGAATTTCAGGTAGAAGGAGAAATCTTTTCGTGTTGACTATATAAGTCTATTTTTCTTATTGTCAAGGTATAACTCATCATCTTGTTGGTTCATTCATTACCTCAGTGTGTATATTTGGTGATAGCATTGTTTTTGGTTTTAGTGCTTCATTAAGTAAAAATGAATAGTTCTTTCAAAATCTCTAAACTGTTAATTATCAAACTACATTCAACAAAGAAAATTTCTGTATTAGTTGACAAAACTAATTTTTAATTGTAATAAATAAAACAAACTGAGAAAAAAAGCATTGACAGGTAATTGTGATGATTGTTATGTATTGAAGTGTCGTTCAAGCAAGAACAAGAGAAGATGAATATCTGATTCATTTGATACATAAGAAAAAACCAAAAAACATCACACTTCAAAGTGTTATACTTGAAGCAAAATACAAGAAATAATTTAAAATTTTCTCTTTCAAACAATAACGAAAGGCTCTCAGTGTGATTTTAGCATACGATTGGTTGAAGTATTTATTCTTTGAAAATCTTTGTCCGATAAGAGTCTCATGAATCGTCATAAGTTTATAATAAATAATAAATAGATTTATCAGAACAATATCCAAGTTAAATGCATTGTTTTTTATTGTTCTTTTTCGGTAATAAATACTGTTGAAAGCATAAATGATTGAATTTGTGTAAGCCTATGCCTTTTTGAATCATATAAGAATTCACATGAACAACTGAAATATTCATTCATTTCATTATCCATGTTCAGATATTAAATAAAATAGTATTAAAATTAATAATGATTTTCGATTTCATCTTTTGAGAAGGCAAAAAGCAAGAATTATACTGTTCATCTATTAACGTATTTAGAAAAGTACAATTTTCTATGAATAGACGAAGGTACAAGATCGAATACAATTCGACGATGGAAATATTTTTTTCATTTTAAATATTTCTGTATATTACTCGACTCTACATTTTTTTTCTTTTTCTTTCCTGCAAAACTATGATAATTACAATGAGTTCAAATGAAACAACCTCATATTTATTAAAATAAAGAAAGAAAATACATAGGACTGCCAAGTTTGATGATTAGAGCTGATAATTGTGAGAGGTATTTATTTTATTTAGATTACAACGTAAAACGACTGTTCAAAAACAAAAGACGAAGAGATTATATATCTCCTTGTAATCCACAAACCAAATTTGCAGGAAGAGCTTTATCTAAATAAAAACAAAGTAAATATTAATTATAAATCACATCTAATTTTACCAATTTGTTTTGGATAACTAAGTTTGAGATTAGCCATTATTTCAATAAATTCTTCTCGTGATTTAGTTAATCGTGGATTATGAGTTTTTTCTTCAAGAATACTTGAACATGTTTGTCCTAAATATATATTTTACTAACTTCTTCATGGAAAATAAAACAAAGAAATACCTGTATAATCATGTCCTGGATAAACTAAATAATAATCAGGTAATATAAATAATTTTGTTTGTATTGATGTATAAAGTGTATCAGAACTTCCTTGTTGAAAATCAGTTCGACCACAACCACGAATTAGAAGAGTATCACCTGTAAACACAGCTCCATAATCATGCCAAACAAAACTCATACAGCCTAAAATCATTTTTCTTTGTCTAATTGAAATTGATTGATTTCAAATTTATACTTACCATTTGTATGACCAGGAGTTGCTCGACATTCAAGTGTTAATGGTGTTTTACTCGATTCTCCAATTTTAATAAATTCACCATCTTTTACATAAATATCTGCTTTAGCTCCACTTTTATCCGAAAGAACACTTTTACATTCAGGAAATAATGTTTTCAATTTACCACTTCCTGTTATATGATCAGCATGAACATGTGTATTGACTTAAAGAATAATATGAATAATGATGAATTCTGTTTCAAAGTAGATTGTCGAAATACCTGCATATCGTAATTTAAGACCAAGTTGTTGAATAAGTTTAGCATCACGTTCAACAGTATCAATAACAGGATCAATAATTAAAGCTTCTTTTGTTGTTAAATCAGCTAAGAGATATGTATATGTTGATGATTCAGGTTCAAATAGCTTTTCAAAAAAACAAAAAAATGAAAAACATAAATTATTATGATTTGTGAAAAAAATGAATCTTTGATTCATACTTGTCTCAACATATGTTTAACTGTCATTTCAGAGTGTTTTATCGAACGAGATATTGAGCAGTATAGTATCTAAAACAATCAAAAAAAATGAAGTTTATGGTGGCACTTCTGTTAAAGAAAAAGAAAAGACAAACTTTTATAAACAACTTACTTCTTGTTTTCTTCTTGTTCTGCATTCAATGCATTTACTGCTGTCGTTTATATAGGAGTTCCATGCTCCTGTTGTGTACTCGTTATTTAAATTAGAGTATTCGGTACTTTTGAGGTTAATAAACAGAAAGCGACCAGAACAGCAAAATATGAGTCCATTAACTTATTTTGCCAGGATAAATAGAGAAAAATTTCTTTTATAAAGGTAAAAAAATATGCGTCATCATTGCTGTGAGACTTCATGTTAACCACTCACGTTATATTTACTTCAGACAGTGCTGGCAAATATTTAAAGAATACGTGTTTGTAGGGTGTGGCTTGCACTCTCCTAATCATTTTAGACTTTTGGAAAAAAGAAAAGTTGTTGGGAATGTAATCATTCAAATATGTTTCACTAAAATATGAAGAGAGTTTTTTTCAACAATATGGTCAAGGCCGCTAAATCAAGTTTTGATGTAAATCTGTTGATTTCTGCATGGTCAAATGTATAAAATCAGTATCAAATTTTGGTGATGTTTGAGTTCTAGCAGTTATAGCCTTGCTAGGAAAGCAACCGAAGAGATAAAAAAGTGGACTATAAACATTTTTATATATAAAGAACTTAAAAACTAATTCGTACTGAAATATAATATGAGATATTATCGAGTATCTCGCGCAGATGTGCAGAATCTGCCGGTAAAATAAAAAAATTTTCCAGAACGGCAAAACTTTTGCAAGAAATTTCCCTGACATAAAACTTAATTAAAAAAAAAAATTTTTCTAATTTTAAATTTTTATTTAAAAACAAAAGACTGCCACCATTTAACGCATTGAATACACACATTAAGAAAACAGCTAGTATTCAATATCATTGAGTTCAAGTTTTTTTGTCACTTGTGTTTTTCGTAAACGATTTAAACTAACTGACCCAGGAGAAACAGATTTTGACCTATCGTGTATTCCTGATTTGGTACAACTAGGGTTACTCAAACAGAACCGAGCCGAACCCAAATTGAACTTCAACTAACGAAAAATGATTTGATTCCGTCACTCATGACCATAAATTAAGCATCCTAGTGGTATTGTATGCCTACACACATACAACAGCAACTGGTATGTAGCAACAGAAGAAAAAACAACTAGTAGTGGCATTCCATTAGGAAATAGTATATAAAGAAAAAAGGAGAATTCAAAGAATGCGTGCTGTTTCATGAATAGGCACAAAGAGACAGGGTGAAAGAAGTGGCATGATACAAGATGAACATAAACAAAGGTAGACAATACTGATATTAAGATAAAGACACGGATGAGTCTTTTAGAAATTTAATGAAAAGAAAAGTAGAAGGTCTTATCGATGTATACAGGATGAGCCAGAAGAAAGAAAACACAAAATTGTCTTTATTTTATTTATAGTGCATATACTAGGTAGTCGTAGTCAGAAGCGTAGTATATCATTCGACAAGAAATGATCTATTTCGATACAATTACAAAAAAAGTATACAAAATATATCGGTGCACTTTTGAAACAACTGTGATTATCACTACGTAGTAAATATGATATAAATAAGAAATTTTTGTTACCCATGTATAGAGACGAAATAAACAAAATTACTTTCGATTCACCTTTTATATAAATGAACCGAGATTCGTTTGGAATATTAAAAAAATTTTCTCAGATACTATCAAATTTTCAAAAAGTTTCCCCGAACAACCGTTCGTACACATGTTTAAACATCGTATCAAGCACTGAAATAAGCTAACTCATAGAAATTGCGAATATCATATTTTAAAGCACAAAGTGCTTGTTTATATTTTCAAGAGATTTTGCCTTGATCAATGAAATTTCATTTTAAATTCAAATTTAAAGAATTTTCAAACTCTCTTATTTCGTTGAATACCAGTGTACATTCTGTTTTTTTTTTCTTAAGTTTCTTAACTTTTGAACAACTCGAGAACAGCTACAAAATATCGAGATGCGACGATGCAATGTTATCTACTGATTATTCAGTCTATACTTAATGTCGCTTACAAAAGTATAAGAAGTAAAAAAAACAGATGCAAAATAAATGCAGTAATTTTATATTCAAGTGTGGAATTTTCTTGACAATATTTTACTGATAGATGTTTTTCTCCTATCCCCGGATGCTATTTTCTATAAGATAGTGGAATCACAATGATCCCAATTTTTGCCTCGTTTCTTCGACATGCTACGTTCGATCGAGCTGAATCTTTTTATTATAGGTATTGGACATTTTTTGGAATGTCTACTTTTTTTTTGTTTTGAAAAATATTGTACCATTAATTTTTCGTAGATTTTTTACAAAAATAGACATGTATTTTTTAGAGGTACACTCAATATTTTGATCTTTTTATTTGAATTGAATGAAATTAAAAAATTCTAGCTCTATTGGATCTAGTGCGTCTGAGAAAGCAAGATGATTGTGAGTCTTTTTGACACAGATATTTCATCGAAAGAAGTTTTTGGAAATTTAAAGTCTATTACAACTTTTGCTCTACGCATTAAAATCTATCTGTCGTGAAAGTTCTCAATATTTCTGATGTGCTATTCTTCATAAACCTCGGAGAAATGGAGGGGAGATTCTTAAATGATAATAGTATTCAGGCCCGTAGCCAGGAATTTTTTAAGGGGGGAGCCCAATTCCAAATTTTTTTCTAAAGTTGCAAAAACCTTTCTCGTACGATTTTCAGTATCGATACTTTCGTTCTTAACATCTTAGANCGCTTCCCTCGTATGCAGGAGAGTCTTAGGACGAATTTATCATAATAATCTCTTCCATTCTAGCACCATCGTCCTCAGCAGTATCTGAAAGATATGGAGCAACATCAATAATCATCATGCACCGTACGTATTGATGCATTTTCTTTTGTTCTCTCAAGGTTATTGTCAGTAAAGGTCTTTATGGAATACAATCGCTCATTCAAGTTGAATTACTTTCTATAGCGTGAGAATTGAAGTTCACTTCTTGCCTAGCGGCCATGGCAGATTTAGCGAAATATTCACTTTCTCCTCATACATCATGGCTGATATCTTTATATACCACCTTTTCGGCTTCGTTATCCCAGCGATCTACATGGTGTTGATTAGGGAAAAATACAGAGCAGACATAAAATAGAAGCACCGATTAGCGAAAACCGGTTGGTTTTGAGAAAATCTAAATTGTTTCTCGTCACACATTGAAGACAAGAATATAATACCGACATGTCTTCATCAACAAACAAGTGAGAAAAGATCGGATCAATGACAAAAATGCATAATTTGAGTGACTTTTTTATTTGGCCAGTCCAGAAATCATCGTTGTTTCACTGTTGTTAGGAAAATCCATTACCACATAATAGAAGTTTTGTATAAGCATTAGATCGTAGCTATAGATGTCGATGGTGGCCAATCCAAGGAATTTTACATATTTCGATGTAGTCAAGCATGAAAAACTTTGCCAATGATGTGTGAGTTTCAGTCAATAAAAGACTGAGTACTGCACTTGAATTTTCAGGTGCATTGGATGGATGCAAATGTGGGTGGATGAGGGTGTAGATTAAGAAAAAAGCTACATTTACACCCACTCCACACTCATACCCATGCTCTCATTAATAATCACATTTTTTTCATTAGTATAATAACCTTTTTGTAGTGAAAAGGTTTCCTTTGTTGAAGCATCGAATAAGCACATAGACGAACTCTATTTTGTATGTATTTTCGATTTTTCTATGTGCTGTCCATATTTTCCCCCTATTTTCCAGGTTATATTCGAAAAGAGCACAAAACTGCATTGAATGATGTATATAACTCATTGAATGGAGACTTATAGATAAGATAAAATATCTCAAGAAAAAACAGTTGAAATTTTTTTCTTTTTTTCATATCCAGCAAACCAAAGAATGAAAATTTTTCCAACACTCTCACTTCGCATGATTCGAGTAGAGAAACTAAATGTATTTGTCAAAATATTGTTTTTCTTATCTCAGATCAGCTTTTAGAATGAAAATCGATCAAAACCTAAAAAACACTCGACGGTAGTGTCCCTCAGAAACTAATACTTTGTGATCATTTTTGACTTTCTCTAGTATTATCAAGCTCAACGAATATGATATTCGTGATCAGCAGTGTCGATAGCCCATAGATCAACAGAACTTTGGCAAAAAGGTTTTTTGCTTTTTCAAAGGTCCCATGCGGGATCACAGGCGAAAATTTTCTCGAAAAAATCTTTTCACCTGGGAAAATATATAAAATAGTATACCATTTTCAGACGGAATAGTTCAAGCCTGCTTCGGTTTCATGTGCATGAAAACGATAAATAAACACGTCATGATAAAGTCATTTGCATTATATTCTTAAATCATGGCCATTGAGTCGTAACCAGTTCGTTTCATCGAATTCTGACAGATTTCTTGCTTTCAGATCCCGACACAGATTTTTATGGTTCAGTTTTGACTAAATTCAGGTAGTGACTTTTCGGAAATCAATGAAACTCATTCAGTGATTACCATGTATCGTATTCGTGTTGCAAGGAGTCCGTTGAAACTCAATGAAATATTTCAAAAATCAACAGAACTTAAAGAAACTGTTGTTGAATGAGAGCAGAACCTATCAGTTCTGACAACAAGTGCAATGTCCCTTGGTTCATCACTCCGTTACGTTCATAACGTTCCCATGTTTTGTGTGGAAAATTCATGTCGTCCACGTCTTACTCGTCGACACTCTAATTGTCGATCTTTCGCTTTTCGACACTTCACATATTTTTTTTGCAGTCAGCGTTTTTGCTCTTGACTTTTTTCTTTGTCGATATTTTGACAAGTCGCTTGAATGAGACTTCAATTAGAAACAGTTACGAAAGTAACATTGAAAATCATAATGAGCTAAACTGCATTCCAATACGTGCCTGGAAGACGCACTAACGTGTGGTCTACTGAGCCATAAATTCAAACTCTCAAAGCAACTTTTAATAGAGAATATTCGTTATCACTAAAGCATAAACGTTTCAGTTTCGTATTATTAGTAATTCAGTAACGTTTGTGCAACCCGCTACTTGCAACAAATAATTCTTGTATTTCGGCCAAGCTAAAGACCATGTGCTACCTCCTAATACAAACTGTCTAACATTACTCGGAATGTTTTAACTGTACCATTGAAACCATTTGTTTGCCCCTTCCGTCAACGTCAGTTCACATGTTCAAATTACGAAAGTGAGAGCCGCCTTCACTGTGACTGTGGTGGCGTGTTTACTGATGGCACATGCCCACATTGCGACGAATTCAACTATGCTAGAGATAAAAATGATTACAACTGCGGGGTCAAGATGACCTGTGCTTCATACAAGAAACATTTTCAACAAGTAATGTGTCCGACTTGGTGTACTGTGCACAATTGGCCTAACTGTGATTTGTGTTCGGGCGAATGTATCGTTTGTGGGCAATACAACACCGTATTTCTGTCAATAATTTGTCCTCGATGCGGTATCTCAAATACATATAGGAAAACCGCTTTTCTAATAGGAGCAAGGAATGTGTGTCATCAGTGTGGGCTTAACTATCATCATGTTAATTGCTCTGACTGCATGACACCCGAGGATTTCTCCGAGTTGTGGATAGGTAGCCCATGGCAATGTGGAAATTGTAAACAAGACCATCAGTTCCTCATTTGCAGCATTCCATACGGCGAAAAAGAAACCTATTTCGTGAATGCTAAATATATGCCCAATACGTCATTTCAATGTTTATCTAGTGGAATGCGGCAAGTTCAATAGGGACGATTCATCATGCAAACAGAGCTTTCCTGTCTCTGTATGATTTGTTTTAATCCAGATACTTGATATAGTAGACGCTGATGGCACGTAAAACCCTATAAAAGTAAAGAGAATTTGGTATTAAAATGATTACAAGGCTTTTCTCAATCGCTATCTATATGATTTTATTAATTCAAGTAATAAAAATCGAAAGAATGCAAAATGTGTTTCTATGTGTCTACGTCCTGTGGATTTATGCAATCATCTTCGAAAGATGTCGCATGAATATGCGTGCAGTAGCATTCTAGTGACAACACTTCCATATTAACCTCGTACCTTTTCAACAAAAAGGAAATTGTGCGACATGAGATCGTGAAAAAATATTTCATCTTCAATCGTATTAGTACAACCGGTACCAGAAACAAAAAAAATAGACGATGGCATAGATTGTGTGCTTTGTATTTGATTCGGTTATGTTACTAAGTTCTGCTCGTTCTCAACAGAATGAAAAAGAAAAAAACAAAGTGCATCTGATACTCGCTGAGTCAGTAAATGAAAAACAATGTGGATGAGAGAAAAAATGCAGCGTTAGAGAATAACGAACGATTTGATAAAACGACACAAACAAAAAATTTGTCGTGATTGACGAAAGTCTCCTCCGATGGCGTCACGCATTCTTAAAATGATTAGTAACCTATTCAGTGTGCCGGAATATCGTGTACTAACTATGGGTCTCGATGCATCAGGAAAAACAACGATTCTTTATAAATTAAAACTCAATGAAACTATCCAAACAATTCCGACTATTGGTTTCAACGTAGAAGCAATAATGTTTAATCATACTTCCTTAACTGTTTGGGATGTGGGAGGACGTGACAAAATTCGTCCTTTAATACGACACTATTTTCAAAATACACACGCTGTTATTTTCGTGATTGATTCAAATGACAGAGATCGATTACCAGAAACAACAGAAGAATTGCGGCGCATATTAGAAGCTGACGAATTAAGGAACATACCTATATTATTCTACCTAAATAAAATCGATTTACCTAATGCAATGAAATCTGAATATGTTATTCAAGAACTGAAACTGAATAATATTAGAAATAGGCCATGGCTTTTGCAACCATGTTGTGCTTGTACGGGTGATGGTTTGTACGAAGGCTTAAGTTGGCTGATACGCGCATTGAAATCACCACATACTGCGGAATCTGGACACACAATCCCAGAATCAAATGCTTCAAAAATCACAGTTGAGAATGATCGTCATGTAGATAAGTCATTAGAGTGGTTAACTCAAATAGATGATGACACAAATGAAGAATTTATTGAGAAATTCGAAAAAGATCAGCTCCCGGTTGAGACATTTGATCATCGAACATTGTTGAGAACAATATGGGCTTATTTAACAATATACGGTAGACAAAAGACAGTTAAAATGATATTTGATCATCTTAAAACTTATATTAGAGATATGAATGAAACATTAGTTTATTTTTGGATACAAATCTTACATTATGCATTCGAAGCAACGAAAAATCCGACAAATGATTTTACAGGTTTCCTATTAATGAATCCTCAATTACTCAATGAAACTGATCTACCTTTGAGTTATTATAAGAAGGATACGTTATTTAGTAGTCAAGCGAAAACAGCCGTTGTTTTGCCAGATAAAAAACAGTTGCCAAGCATCTTACCAACATCATCCGCTTCTACCATGAATAAAGTGAAGAATAAAAATGACTCGATAGTTGAATCATTCATTGATGAATTAGATGATGATGAATTTCTAAAACAATTTGAATCGTATACGTTAAAAAGTTGGTCTCATAAAACTCACTTACGTATAGCATGGCTTTATTTGACACGTGATGGACGTCGTCTGGGAGTTAACAAAATATTTGATGGTATTAAAAATTTCATTCAAAATAGTCCCATTGCACGAAAAACAATATTTCATTTTACAATGACATATTTTTGGATTCAAATGATTGATCTAGCTATTGCACAAAGTCTGAAAGAAACCAAGTTCGAAGAATTTCTTCGTTTAAATCGACATTTACTCAACGGAGATTTATTTCTTCAATATTACAAGAAAGAAACAATGTTAAACAATCCAATTGCTAGGAAAGAAATGGTATTGCCGGATATCAAACCATTACCAACTTTTGTTACAGTCAGCAATAAAAAATGAACTCACCATATTCGGTGTGGACATCAGTATCGTGTAAGTTTTTGCGAAACAAAGGTTTTTGTTGTATAGAAGAAGCTTCTTTTTTTTCTTTTAATAAAAAGTGAATATTCAGAATCGGTCAAAATAGATACATTTTACTATGCATATATGGGTCAGTGAATGATGAAAATAGTTCGTACTGATACGTATCAACATACGCAGAAATACGATTCGGATTTTTTCTAGATCTTAAATAGATGCTAAATTGACTTTTAACGAAGGGTTATGGCTGCTAAAATCCATCTTTAAAGCACCTATAGAAGTTTGAGTCGATGGATTTTCTCGACAATTATTCTCAAATAAGGATAACTCTTGACTACTAGGATCATATCATGCAATATTATAAAATGCATCTTGATAATTTTCCTGAGATTACAGTATTGAATAATGCATATTTAGCAATGAACACATAGGATTATTATCAACATACATGAAAACATAACAATCATGTTAGTTAGAAACACCCTTTTCTACTTTTTCATGTTTTTCATGAAAAATTAACACTATGAAACAAAACAAAAAAGTTAATATAAAAATCAGGTTCAATATATAATGACAAACATCCCCAGGTCGAGATTTGCGAACTCCGTATACAGCCATAAACGATCGTGATTTGACCAAATACGGTAGACGTGCCATCGTTTCTATGTGTTTCGCCGTAGTTCGTATACCATCAAATTCACTCGTATGCTTCGTACCGGACAAACTACTGATATACCAATCGGACTATTGATACATTAAACACCGATTTATCAGTTAATCGATTGGTAATCTGATCGGTAATGGTGTGGGTGGTGTGAGAGGATGTTGATGTGAGTGTGGATGTGCTTGTGGGAAACGAATAGCACCCACATCCACACTATCACCACCAACATCCCACACCCATAATGTAGTTTTATGAAAAATACGATATTTTACTATTAGAATTGTCGTTTGAAAATTAATTTCAACTTATGTTTCATCCGTACCATCATATAAATGATGATTCATTATGATAAAGTGTTGAGGCATAAATATTTTTAAAAATATATGTACTGCTTCTTCGCATGTTTGTTTACTTATTATTAACTTCGTTTGCACATTTGTTGGTGGTGTATCACGTTCATTTGAAATACTTAATGATGGTCCAAATTTTATGTTTATAACAGTTTCTGTTTCAGCAACAAATTTTTCCTCACAAGTGAAAAAATCAATGTTGTTAATTTCATATATTGAATATTCGATGCTATTCTAATAACCAATTCAGCTCCACGACGTTCAACAAGTTGTTCGTATGATGTAGTTGCTCGAGGAGCTATATCAGCATATGATTGATTTCAATTGAGGCAAGTAAGTTAAGGCTGAGGAAATTCAGCCGCTTTCGATGAAAATGATTGAATTCTGTCACCAAGAATGCCACGAACAACATACAAATGGGTAAGTGATGATTGTAAGCGGTTTAATTCATTTTTTTTTCTAAACCAAACACAATATCTATTAATATATTTGCCTTGTAAAAATATCAACCATTAAAAATAGAAGCTAGTTACAAACTTCAACGTCTTTCGTCTATTCGTAATTTTTAATAAAGAAGCATCTCAAATTTAGCACCTCACTCAAATGCTTAGTTTAATACACTATTACGCTCATTATCCATATGACTAGACCAAATGTACCTTATATTTAATTCCAGGAGTAACCAGGTAGCTCTATAACGCTTCAAGAAGCTTCAAAATATATTGAAAGCTATAGATGAAAGATTTCAAGAGACATCAGGGGATTTCAATCAACTTCATAAGGTTTCAAGAGTGAATTGCGAACTGTTTTGTCCTAGATTAAACTCCTACATTCAAATTTGAATTGATCTTACAAGAATTTTGTTAGTTTTCAAATTATATCTTTTAACAAGTTCTTAAAAAGAGAAGGACTTTATTTCAATCATCGTTCAGCGTATTACATATATTTTTTATGCAAAGCAGAACAATTTTAGAGAGACATTCATGTATGAGTCTATATACACATATATATAAGTTTCTATAAAAAAAGAACTCATTCTATAACCATGCATCATATGATAGTTTCATCAGAAAATGAAAATCGAACATTGTTTAATTATATGGTGGCACAACATTAATCAAGAGCTTTTTGCTAGTTAATCTAAAGAAGCAGATATATTCTTCCATGTTACTTATATAGATATAGATATCAACATATTTATACGTGCACTTATATGATCAATAAAACTGCTTCACGGGAGGATTTTAAGTCTAAGGTAATGGCTTTCTGCCTATCATACGGAATGCCGAGAAAATTTAAATATTACGCCATCACTCGAACTGAACTGAAAATATAATTTTACTAACCGTCAATTATAGCAGCTGGTTCTAAACAATGAAATAAAAAACGTGAATGGAAGCCATCAGTAGTTAAATTTTCATTTATATGCATCAAAACATTCGACCATTTCGAACCAGTCGATCCTACATAAATGGATAACGTTTCGTCTTCAATAATGGTTCCGCTATGGTAAGTAGAACGGGTTGTTCTTTGACCATCAAATAAAGCCGATGCACATCCCCGCATTTCAATGTTGTCTTTATTATTTTGATTAAAAAAATTTAATTGATCAAGAATGAAATCTCCTTCTGGTGCACACAAGTACAGATTTGACATTGTTAATGATCTCATTGCTTCGGAATAAGTTAGAGTTTGTTCAATAAATGTAATTTTTCGAATAATATCCGATGCCAACGGCGTAAGTAATTTTTCAATATTTTTTAACGATTTCATGTTAAGTGCAAATGCTGCCAATTGCAATTTCTCTTGTTGAGATTTACGTTTAATTAATACTTTTCCGCCATGGTGACGACGTCATAAGCTTTTTGAACATATCTCGACTTTTTTGATGCTGCAAAATAAAAGAAATATCATTGTGGATCATTCTTAAAGACAAAGGTTGAAAGATCTGATACTATTTTCTCATGTACAAGAAAATCTAGACCATTAGATATTTCAAGAGTGTTGCTGTGGCTGTGGCTGATGACAAGACTAGCACTCAACATCCACACCCACACCCAGATAGAACTAACATCAAAGCAATAAGTATTGTCAAATGTGTTGTTTTTGATTCAAATAATGAGATTATACCTGTTCTAATAATACAGAAGTTATAAGGAGAGAGACTAGTCACAGAACGATCGAATGGAAAGTATCTTGAAATTCAGTAACCATCAAATCGAGTTTTCAAGGGACAATCAAAATTGATCTACTGATGTTTTATTCCTTAAAAAATAAAAAAATATAGTATCAGTCATCCGTTATTCTTCAGTCTGTTTATTTTTCCACTGAAACATTTAAAATACATCTCCCCGACTAATATAATGACGGCTGTAGATGGTATAGGTATAAATACTATCTTAGATAAAAATTATTCATGCTTACTACAACAATAAGTTTATTTGTATCACTCTTGATAACACATGCCGATGTGTATTATGGGAATGATCAATGCATGATAATAATATAATTATAGTTTTTGACGCATATATATATACGTCGTCATTTGACGAAAGGCAAATAAGTCATAAAAGACTGACTTATTTTTTTTTGCTACTGAGATAAATTCGTCACGTATGTATATATAAAACGCCAGCAGTGTTTACATTATTTTGTCTTTTGATAGCTTACTTGCATTACTTGAAAACAACTTGTCAAGTGCAGCGTCTTGTGGGGCTCAAGTGCGTAACTCACAGGCTCTGTTTGTTTAAAATTTATGATATATTGTCAGGATTTAAAATAATTTATTTAAAATAATTCCAAATAAATGAACAAATCATAATTATAGTAGCTTTCATAGTACTGAAATTGGCACAAATGATATATAAAGTTACATTTTTGCAGTTGTTTAAATGGGTGTGAGTGTGGATGTGGGATGGGTGTGGGTGGTGTGAATGTCGATGGGCAGAGAATTCGTACCATCGACACTTACACCCACACCCACATCGACAGTTATTCTTACACGTATGAGACATTTTTCTCTGAAATACCCACTTCGAGTACTCGACGAATGTCAAGCAACAGCTGGCACACGTGGCGAAATTGGTTCGAACAAGTTGAACTACAATAGTTCAAGTCGGTGATAAAGTCTAGATTGCTTTTAATTCTGTTCAGTTCGATGGCCATAGGTGAACCCGATGTTAATGGTCTTCTGATCTCGAAACTCGAATGCATCGTCTGATGTTCCGGTTTGACGTCTTGAAGAAAAACCTACGTTGCGCGGCCTGAGTTCTCATACATGAAATTGTCGACATCGACATGTTCGACGCTGAGTGCCACAAAGGGCACGCTAAGAATTTCTTTTTTCATCAGGAAATGCACTAAATTGGTAAGCAACAAGAGCCATGCGATTTTGAGTGACCTGATAGACAAAAAGAACAGGTCGAGCAGCGGTTAGTCAAATGATAGGTACTGGTTCAACTCGTCGACACTCAAATTCATTCGACTCATTATTTATATTGAAAATTCCTGTGCCGAAAACAATTCTGGTGCTAATCTTTTCCGTGCTTAACTTTCATCAACCCTCTGGAAGCACGACACATTTTCACCAGACTCTGCGACATAAAATCTTATAACATAATGCTACCACTAATTCTAAGACATAATCAGGCATCATCAAAATATCACGGATTACTTTTTAGTGCATAATTTGCTACCATTCCCATTTTATTTAGATCTTTCTATCAAACAACACACGAAACGTTGTCATCTAGCTATTTAAACAATGTTATAGTTGATAAATACTCCGTAATAGAACAATGTCGATGGACCTTGAAATTTGAGTATGACCTGATAGTTCGAATCCGAATATTGAATCAGCTTTCGGTCTTTGGTTGTCACCTCCGTCTCTTGACCGTTAAAAATTCGATAAACGTGCGAGAAATATGGCGTCAATTTCTCGTTGTCAATATAAACCATGTACGGTTTATGTTGCTGTGGTCCGATACTCAGCGTCAGATTACCAACTGGATAGTTCCAGAAGAGATCAACCGAACTACATGATTTAACAAGTTCGCTATTGGTCAAATCGAGTGTGGCCGATTGACAATTTCCAAAAACACCGGCGTTAATCGTACAGTCGGCATAGGAATGCGCTTGAACATCACACGACTCATCTTTGATGGGCGTCGTCCGAGCAATGGCAAGTGTCAGCAGAATGATGAATGACAGAGTTGGCGACATTATGAGTTAGGCAAGGCGATGAATGAGAAGATTAAAAAGACTGTTGATCGATTCTTATAAGAATGTCAATGCGGACAAATGGAAGCAGGTGCGAATGAAATTAGAGAAAGGGTTCGAGTTACAAAATATTAAGACAATGCATTTTTTCTGCTCGATCATTATGATCGAATTTATAAGCCAGAGAGAATTAAAAAAGTTATCTGTATTTTTAAATATTCTAGGCTTCGTAAGCTGTAACGCAACGTATGGTACATGCATGCGCTGCAGTTATAAATTAACTTGAACGAAAAGGAAATCTGTTTTTGTTTTGCCAAAAAGTAGACCTTTACACACAAGAACTTTAATTTGAAGAGTGCTAGTTTACAAAGATCTTACGAGTGCATTCGTATTCCTACATAAAAATTCACCTTTATTAATACGAACAGACACGTTTAAGACCAAGTATCGTTTATACATGTTACGATCGGATTGTTCCCATCCGGTCGTAAGATAGAAAGAAAATACCCTTTCTAGTATAGTGGTTAATATGACTGCCCGGTAAGCAGGAGATGCATGGTTCGATTCCATGGGAAGGGAGTATAGTCTGTACCGTTCTGTTGTTATACCATCACGTTGCTATCTCGCACGTAACAATACAATGCCATTAATAATGTTTGTATGATGACGAGTGTAATATTTAATTTTAATATAATTCACAAAATTTTTCAACTATTACCACAAGTGGCGGAACTTTTTCACGATTATTTTACTCCAAAAAGTATTCTCAATTCACACAAAAATATTTAGAATTTATCAACATGCCACCGACATTTTATACTCGTATAAAATCGAATCATTATAACACGTTATCGAGACCAACAGTGAGGTAGAAACTGAGCTAAATCGAAATCTACAAGCTCTGTTGTTTATGCGACTGTTGGCAACAGCTCTGTGATACTATTCCATAGAATGCATAGTTTACTTAACGGCATAGCAGCGTTTCTATTACAAACGCCTGTGAGTTCTACCTTGTTAGCCTTTCGCAGCGACAATTGTGATACTTATCAGACAGTATTAAAAGAATTAGACAATGATGAATTCATACGTGTTTTGAATGCAAAATAATGGGTAAGAGTAGAAAACAGATTCGTACAACAAAAATGAATCTTAAGCCAGAAATTAGTCAAAACATTCAGAACCCTATATTATTTATGCCATTCAGTACGAATCAATTTGAAAATGCCATTATAGTCGATAATATGCGTGTTAAACTATCATTATTTGTTTGCGCTCTGTCTCTACAATAGCCACTAATAGCACCATTTAGTTTTAGTAATTACCCTTTCACGGCTAAAACTGCTGAAGATAAATTATTCCCTTTGTGGACAAATCGAATAATTTGAAGAATGAGCTCAAATGTAACAGTTTTCGCAGAGGCTTGTCTTGTTCGATAAGTTCAGTTGGCAACTCAGCACATACTTGAATAAAAATACACCCAACATTAGATATACGTGTATGATCAAGTGCACACACGAGACGCATGAAAATTGAATGTTTCATATAGGTCTTAGATGATGATAAAAACTGAAAAGAAAGCTGTAAATGCCATGATATTAAATGAAAACAAAGGTGAATTTGATCCACAATCAAATACAATGCTGCATCTTAATCCATCTATTACATTTGAATAGGATATAAACTAGGCGCGCATGGTCATATATTATCTTTCTAGTATTGGGAGTGAAGTAAAACCACCAAGTAAATCACTTTTCTATAGAATCGTTCATTCGTTTGAACTCATAGTACATTTTTATGAGTTTTTATGCCGTGAATGGCAATACAACGAGCGATTGTAAATCAATATAGAACTATCCATAGAGTTGTGATTTGTTTGGCTTTTGTTGCTTCAATCTTGATCAAGAATTGGAAAACTGATCAACGGTCATCGTAGCCACGCATGTGAGCATGTGAATTGCTGCTTTCTAAAGTTACAAACCAATGGTTCGATCAAAACGTTCCTTCTTAATTCGTTGCGAATTACATCTGGAAACACTTTCGACAAAAACACTACAGTTTTTATAAGATATGATTTTTCGCATGAAAGTGAGTATTCGCAAGGACGNAGATGCAGCGTGAAAAGCTCTACAATCTACAAAGTAAAGCTTATTTCAATTATGTACTTTTCGTTTTCAAAAAACGCAAAATTCTGTGCGACCAATTTTCAGCGCTGCGAGAGGATCATTTTTCTACACCGATGAGAAATTCCTTTCTTCTTATTTCAATAAACTGTTATACGTAAATTGTAGAGCTTTACACGCTGCATCTTGTGGTATATTTTATTTCCTTTTTACAAAAACATATTAGTTGATAAATAGATGAAATAAGAAAAAAGGAATTTCTCGTTCGCATAGAAAAAAATGATTTTTTCGCAGCGTCGAACATTGGTCGCACAGAATTTTGCCTTCTTTGAAAACAAAAAGTACAAAAATAAAACAAGGTTTACTTTGTAGATTATAGTTCTTTTCACGCTGCATGTTGTGGTATATTTTGTTTTTTTAAAACAACGCATTAAGTGATGCGAAAATGAAATAGAAAAAGGCAATTTTTTTTGTCCGCGAGAGAATGAGACCTATTGAAATTTTTCAATTACCATATTACCATGGCATTTTTGCTGTTTTGTTAAAATTTTTACCCGTTGATATTCGAACATAGCTTTAATCACATTTTTGAGGCTACACAAGGTTGTTTTTGGCCTATCGTGTCCATGAATTATGTAATACATAGGATATCTGATATATCTCACTATCTCTTATCGGCTATGAAACGTGTTTGCAGTTATTCAAACAACACAACTGGTATAGTATTATTTTGCAAAAAAACATAAAACACAATCCTTACAAAGAGAATCTTCATCTGATCTACCCAATCAATACTAAAATGCAATTATCGGATGGAAACACATCTTTCCATGACAATGAAGAAATATTGTCGAGGTTGAGTACATTCAAACGAACTCAAAATTTAGATACGCATACACTAATATGGTTAGGCACTTGGATATATACTTATCAAATGTATATGAAATTACGATCAATAATCGATAATGTACTTCTAGTAGACACCAATGAAGTATGTATAGAACAGATAATGAGTACAAAAGAACAGATATTTTTGATTGTATCTAATCAAAATGAAGAAAATGTAATTCCTCAAATTCACAATCTGCATCAATTGCATTCAATTTTTATCTTCAATCCTAATAAAATCTCATCCGAACGATCGATGAAACAATATTCAAAAGCTAGGCTCCTTATTTATACTGAATTAAACTTAAAAACAGTTGATATTTTTTTCTAATCAAATAGGTTCGTGGAGTCTATAATAATTTAGAACATCTGGAAATCGATTTGAAAACTGCGGTGGAAACATTTGTCAAATACGAACGAATAATGCCCGAATTATTCAGTCCAAATAATAAAGCTTTTACAATGAATGCATTGCGTAACGATTTATGGCTACTTAAACTATTATACGTATTGATAAATCAAGAACCACCGATGAATAGTAAAGAACATTTTGTTGAGTTCTTCAGCCTATATTATAAAGATAATTCAAAAAATGAACAATCACTGAAAGAATTTTCCGATTCATATGATTCATCAAAAGCTGTTTGGTGGTACACAAGAGACACATTTATTTATAAAATACTTAATCAAGCAATGAGAGAACGGAACATACAAGTGCTATGTAAATATCACTTTTTCATTCGAGATTTATACAAACAGATTGAAGCTGGACATCGGTTATTCAATGAAAGAAACTCATCGATACGTGTCTATCGTGGACAGATTATGAATACAAGAGAAATCGAGAGAATAAAAGAAGCAAATAAATATGATCTTCGTTTATCAAACCATTGTCTATTGTCAACATCTCTCGAACGTGATCCAGCTCGTCTTTTTATTTTAGGATTTAATTCGGGGGACGATTTACGCGGTGTTCTATTTGAAATTGAATGCAATGCGATTGTGAAAAGTCGTCCATTTGCTGAAATAAGCCATGAAAGTCGGTTTCAAGACGAAAAAGAAGTTCTATTTATGCCTGGTGTGGCTTTCGCCGTTAATGCCATTGAATTTGATGAAACAGATCAACTACATATTATCAAATTAAGATTATGTAATGATGAAGATATTCAGAAAGGATTCCATAAAAAAAATATATTTAACGGTGATCGTGATATTGTTCGAGAAGCGTTGGACGATATGGGAACCACTACTATCGTACGTGAATGTTCTGATTTGGATCAATTATACGGTCACATGATAAAATTATTTCCAACGGATCAAATAATTGAATTAAGTTACCTCCAAGCTATGGGTTCAAAACATTTCAAAAACAAGAATTTTGAAACATCAATCAATTTCTTTAAAGAAAGTTTGTCTTTACAAGAGAATTTTTTTCCTTCAGACCATAGGAAAATTGCAGAACTATTGTGTTCCATTGGTGAATCGTACTATAAATTGAAAATTTACGATGAAGCCACTAGTTTCTATCATCAAGCAATAGAATTGAATTCATTATCGTTATCGAAATCTCTTATGGCTCATTTAAACATGGGATATTCATATTTGATGAGAGAAAACGGGAATTATTCTGATAATATATCATTAGCGAATTATTATCTTCAAACAGCATTACATATAAATTTAGAAAACGAGCTTCTAGGTGATGAAATGATCATGAATCTCTATCAAGCATTGGGTGATATTCATGAGTATCAAGATGAATTGGATTTAGCTATAGGATATTACAATGAAGCTCTTGAAATATGTGAAAGAAACGAATGGACTAATGATTCTAATGAAATAAAAGCAAAAATTGAAGTCATCAATCAGAAATCAGTGGATATAGCTCATGTCGAAGACGACAAATCCAACTTTTAATAATCTTCTTATATCACTTTCAAAAATTTCTGATCATCTACTCCGATTTCTAGAAAAAATTGATAAAATAATTTGGAACATTTCAGAAAACTATTCTTACTCATATGATCTATTTTATCTTTTGCCATCTNAGCTTATTTACATAGCAAAGAAAAGTGTGCTGAGTTAATCCTCATAAACGACCTGTTCTGTTATGAATAAAAACTGCTACGTGTCCTCTACCTTCCAAAAAAAATTCAGCTCATTTGGTTGAAGATTCATGAAAATATTCAAATTTTTTTCTCCAACTCTAGTGAATTACTGGACACCCTATATAATAGTGTGATGAGAGTGGCTTACAGATATAAACTGCATTATTCTAATAGTCTTATTGATGAAATAATCGATGATGAAAAAAAAAGTAATTTCAAATAAAAATAAACAAAGAAAAATGATTATTATTGAGTGTATAGCAACAATAATAAAAAAAAGATCGGGCGCGCTCAAACGAAAAAGAGAGTTTCAATTTTAAATGTAGAAATTAAATGATCAATAATTTTTCTTGTCAGCAATTATTTACAAAAAAAACCTGTAGTCGACGAGAAAGCTTTCTGTTTACAGATGACGTATTAAGATAACAAGACTGAAGGATATACGTGAGTTCCACATTTTAGCTCCAAAGGAGCTGCGCTAACAAGCTTTCTTTTCATGCAGTGTTCCTTGAGCATATGAACTTCTACGTGCTTGAGTTATCCAATGCCAAAATGAATACAGAATAAATTCACAAGCAATATTATAAAGAAAAACTCATAATACCCATTTAAAATGCTATTTATTTGTTTCAGAAAATGTCATTAGAAATATCCAAAGCCAACATTAAAGTGCAGTACTGAAATCTAGGGCATGTGCTAAATGACACCAAATGAGATGATTAAATGGTTTTCGTGTCCAATAAAACCATTGTGAGTATGTTTTGAGTAACAACGGTGTCGAATCATTTTTTTGACTCCTATGAAGACGATGAATTTCAACAATACAACGAATACCAAATCTCATTCTCATTATGGCAATTCTTAAGATTAAAAAATTCTTTCAAAATTTACACTGATCTACTGCTTTTTTTATTCTTATCTTCAATAAGCAATTTACCTTAGTGGTATGTCGATCTTGAAGTTTTTCCAGGATTGCCTTAAATTGCATTATTCTAGATTGAAAATAGCACTGAAATTCTAACTTAACTAAAAGAGATTTCTAAGTTTGCAAAATGCTCGAATGTCAAATAAAAAAAGATTCTTTATTAAAGTTATATTTCAAGAAGATAAAAATTTGTTAGTGAGTTAAAGTTAATTTTTCTATAAAATCGTCTTTTACTATTGTCTATCAGTTATTTTACAACTTGTGTGTAATCAATTGTTGATGGATGTCAATGTTTTGTAGTTTATTCTACGTTTATTTTACAAAATAAAAAAAAAACTAAATTGAATAGCTTGTATAAAGAACCTAAACATGTTAGCTTGAATAAATAGATAGAATGTTTTTATAATGATAAATATTTATTAATTAGTAGTTGTTGTATCAAGAGCAGCATCGATATGTTGAATTTTTCCTGAAGGTAAAAATGTATATGTTGTATTATATGTTTTATTATCATGGTCAACTCGAGCTCGACTTGTATCTCCTTTTTGATCATCATCATGAAAATTAATAATTTTCCAATGAGCTCCTTTTTTGTTCGTATGTTCTTTTGTGTAATAATCTCGAGCTTCTTTTAAATCTTTATAAATAACTTGAGAATCAATTGTTTTTCGTACGTTAGCATCAAGATATTTATCAAGATTATTTAAATGATTTCCATTAACAGCATCAGCAAATTGTTCAACAATATTTTTGTGTGAATGACCTGTTGGATGAGCTTGATTTAAAGTATGTGTTGTACTAGACGCGTGAGACATTATTGGCAAATTTTGATTTTATTAAGAAAATCGAGTCGTTCGAACAGAATAAATTACTTGAAAATATTTGAATACTTTATATCTTATATATATAGAGAGAGATATCGAATCTTTTTTTTTCTTCTCATTAAACAGACATGAGAAGATAAAAAGTATCGATTTCCTTCTTTCTCATATAAATTACAGACGTGATCAAACGAACAAAAGTATTATCAATCATTAAAACAATAGTCTTATGCTATATTCAATTTCATTCTCTCATTTAATTTTACACATTCAGTGTAAACAAGTAATTTACTATTTCTATCGAATTTTAATGATGGAAGTGAACGCGTACTATTTTATTCTCTAAGAAATTCTCGTAAACCTATTTAATTTAATTGTTGATCATGTTCGTAATTAAATCCACAGTGCCAAGCTGTAATTCTGAGTAATGCAATCTACATATATTTCTAAATTTCTTGTAAATGTCCAATAGTAATACTTCGATGACTCATATTAATGGTTGCTGGTGATCTTGGAATACTTAAATCATTATAAAATTTAATTGCTGAATTTAAATCTTCGGCAAGAACCCGTTGATGAGCAAGTTGATAACCATTCATAATAGCCATATGTGCTCCATTACCAGCAAATGAACTCATTGCATGTTGTGCACCATCAATAACAATAACTAAACCATGATTTCGAAAGGGAACCATATCTTTCGCATTGAAAATGGTGACACTGTCACGTATTGTTTCTTTAAGCAACGTAGACATTTGTTCATCATAAACGTTTGTACGTTCTTTAGTTTCATTCAAAATTTGATCTATTTCATCATTCGCCATTGTGCCAGCACCTTTAGCTTCTCTAGATGTATTAGGTAAATACGCAACACTCCAAAGTGCACTTGTTCGATCAAAAGGTGCGAAGAAAAAGAAAATGTCTATTTTCACCAACAACATCTCCGAATGTTCTATCTAAAGGCGATGAAGGTTTTTTGAAATCATGAGTACGTGCTGCAATGTTAATATCATCAGTAAAACAGAGCACATGTTCTAGTCTAAGTGATTTTTGAATACTACTATTCGAAGGGTGTGCGTGTGGGTGTGAGGGTGGGTGTGGGGGGTGGGTGTGGCGGGGAGAGGGGGGGGGGGGGGGGAGCTTGGGATCTCCAGCGCTCACCCCCGCGCCCTCCCGCCGCCGCCCCCTCANTAAACCTAAAATTGTTAATCGACTTGAAGTCGTTGTTAAACGTAGATCACCATTCATGATTAAAATACTGGTCAATCCATTACATATGCCAATTAAAATTGTCTTTAGTCTAGATTGATTATTTTCCACGTCTCTATTATAATATTCAAAAATATAAATAATAATACTTGAATAAATCATAACTGCAAATATTGCTGCCCATACATCCCAAGTAAATGGGTTAAAACATGAGAAAAGACTCAACGATGAAGAATATGGCTTTAGTCGAGTAATGATTCGAAATGTATCTTCACGAAAGGGTGTTGAAAAATCAACCTTAAGCATACGATCTGAAGTGGCTGCAATATTTGATAAAATAATATCATATTGGCGATTATCTTCTGCTAATAATGCCACAAGAGAATGATAAGGCGTTGATGGATCAGCTACATTAATTGTGTAAGTAAAATGCATATGTGCTTCAAGTTCACGAATGAAATCAGCAACAAATCCGTAAATAAGAACTTCTGGATCTTTAGTTGTCAGAGGATCAAAACGATATCTGATTCGTTCAAAATTTTTGGCACTCTCTGAGACTGGGTGGTGAGCCGAAGAATTGTGTACTATAACGAATGGAGGTGCTTCAATGACAAGAATTCGCAAATGTTGTTCTAAATATAAGATATGGAAATTATTGGACTGCTTTAAAAAAAATATAAATTTAACTTTATTTTGTATTAAAATAATAAGATAATATACATAACAGTAAGTAATATTGAGAGAAAATTTTATTTAAATAAACCTATTGCAAAATCGGTTGTAAAACCTGACATTGAAGCTTGACCATACTTTCGAATATTGATCTGAAACTTTACTTATACAAAAACATCGATTCGATTAACTCACATAGAAAATTTCCAAATTTTCCAAACAAGTTTCTTTGAGATATAAAACTTTCAAAAAACGCATGTTGTGAATATGCTCTCTATGAAGAAGAATCTATACCTAAAAAATTTTGTGCCTCCGAGAGACTTCGTTCAAAACTTCTGATATTTTTAATGTAGGCTAGTCTTGTTGGTATTTTTATCTGGTCAAAGTTTCAGATGAAAATTCGAAAGTACAAGCAAGCAATGATTTTAAGCTTTGCAATCGAAATTATATAAGCAAACGTTTTTTCTAATACATATATTTCATTGAAGCCTATCAGATGCATCAAGTCATGACTCAAAAGTGAAACGAACACCTTGGAATGTTCCGTCGTTAGACAGACATATATTTTTTGTACTAGCGAAAACTCGTGCATACTGCACGGCTGTTTTTGCCTTTAACGTATGGCCTGAAACCTTCAATCTTTCACCCGGTACGAGCTATACAGACGCTTAACATTATGTATATAGATAGTCCTATGGCGTCATATCCTTACATCTCTAATAGCTTTGTAGTCCATGTAGCTTTTGGGCCTTATAGCTTTAAATCGTTCGTAGCTCTTTTAACCTTACTTTCTTATAGCCTTATCCCCTTCTAACAGCACAACCTTTTACCTTTAACCCAGCACAGACAGACACACAGACACGCACTGAGCATTATTATATACATAGATGATGTTTCGAAACTTCTCATTTTTCTTGACCGTCAGTATTTTTTCTTACTTCTCCTTTCTATTTATACTATGATCATAGTGTTTTTTAATCAAATTATTAACTTTTTCCTAACCTCGAAGTTGTGGATAATCAGTAGGTACTTTTGTGTTGTCACTGTTAGACCAGATGATATAACTATTGTCTTCATCGGTATTATTTGTCCAATTACGAGTTCTTTCATACCATGCCAATACTTTTAAATAGATTGGCTCTTTTTTACCACTTGGATTTTTCAATTGCATCGATTGTATNAAGTATCTGTAAGTCTTTTCAACAGTAAGAGAAATCTATCCGTAAAACAAAGTAGAAACGACTTTTATATGATTTAGAAGTATCTGCGTGATGATAATGGAATGCAACCTTTGAAGTGTGCTTCTAATTTTCAAAAAAAAACTGCCTTAACTTTTATCAGCCACCCATGACATAATGAAATTTTTCTCTGTTGATAACCGTCCGGATGAGAGTTAAAATCATGCTAGAGAACTTATTGATAAGAAACCATAAGGTAACATATCCAAAAACTGATTTAGGATGAGTAAGATTTTTAAAAGTGAAATATCTATTTTTGTGTCACGGTAAGGATGCCGCAATCGATCAACTTACAGCCTGTAACCTGGAAAAATAATAGAAAGCAAGAGTGATACACAGAAAAGTAAAAGTCATTGAATATTCTTTATCTAAGAGATGAATGCCAGTTTTTTCAATAAACTAGCTTTTACTCCGTCGATTGTTTTATGAATATTAAGGAAAACAACGATGAAATTGCAAGTTCTTTGTTTTTCTCAAACCTTTCATATTTATGTTGATAAAATATGTTAAACTAGATTTTCAAGAAAAAAAAAACGTACACCTATTCATAGATTCATATCTTGAAACATAAGTATTTCATTTTCAAACTTATTGTATATACGACTATAAGAGCAGACTGACATTTCTACCAGTTTTATTTCAATATTATAAAAATCAACTAATAAGATTTTTAAAAAAAACATTCCGAAGCACAACAAATTTCTATTCTTCACAATTTCTATTACATGTAATAATATTTAATTTTATACAGTCTGCACAAATATTTTGTTCTCTAAAGTAAAAAAGAATAGGTGTTGATTATTGAATAATAAAGGGAAAAAAAAGTCTTATACCTATTCATTTGCCTATTTAAGAAATTGGAAAATCTGATTGAAAATACGAAATTGAACTATTTAGTAGAAAAAAGTAATAATAATATGACTTCAACGACTTTCATAAGATTGCTGTATCTCAGTGGAAAAATGTCGTATTGAACTGAAAGATATTGCATTTTGTAGAGAGTCATTTGCTCTATTATTTTATCTAGTCTTCATAAAAAACTACTTCTGTTCTAGATGTTGAAACATTACAGATTTGAATTTCAAACGATCACATTTTAGAAAATCGAATCATTATTTAGCATCTAAGAGAGCGAAAAAAGTTGAATATAAATTTTGATAATCAATTTTGGTAGCCATTGTATAATTTTATATGCCAAAAATAAGAAATAATAAAGCAGATCAGTCAGTAACATGTTTTCACCTTCGCAAACATTTCTGTATATAATTCATAAGAGAACAATCTGACACAAAGTTTTTTTTTTTTTGTTTACATAAGCAAAACAAAGACTATAAAATGAGGATAGTGTTGTATTAACCCGTCATATTAAATATTCAAACATCTTGTCACTATATTGTGCCGATTGCAGTTAAGAATAGTTTTTTTTATATTTTTCGAATTATTAGTGTTTAATTAAAAAATTATTTATAAGAACTATTTCAAGATCTTGAGAAGATTTCGCAGTCTTGTAATTTATTTTTTCTTCTATGTTTTCTTTAGAATATCAAAATACATCGGATATCATTGTCAACTACTTATTCCAATAAATTTACGTTTGAAAATGTGGAACACAGATTTATTACCATCTTCTCTGAAAAATGCTCAACCGTTACGGTCCGACATGAATGTCAAAGTATCGTATGTCAATTCTCGAAATTCCGACAAAATACAACAACAAAACGCTCCTATCATGCTCAATCAACCAAGACAATTCAATCCGTCATCATCAGGACCTTATTATCTTCCACCGAAATCTCCTCCAGTGTTAGGAGCATCTGTAAGAACGGATGCATTTGACGATACCGTATCAAATTCAAATTTGATGGAAGAGAAGATGTTAGTATTCACAGTTTATAATGTACTCATTTTATGGTCTGAAAAACATACTTTTTTGTAGAAAAGCGCAAGTATCCAATAGAGTTAAACCAATAATCATAGGCTTCACCTTGATTCTTGCTTTGGCCATATCTGCCATTGTGGGTTTGGTTATATTCATAACTGCAAAACCAAAAGAAACATCTTCTTCATCAAGTGAGTATTTTTTTTTTTATTAATTTTATTAAACTTAAAATGAGATTTTAACACGCTAAAATTCCATAAAACTATCTGAAGTATATGAAGAAATTTATTTGTCCAAGAATGTCATGAGCACTTTCAATCGTCTATTAAATAGGTAACTACACTCAGCAAACATGCGATACCGACTGTGTGATGTCAGGAACTCCATATCGCCCTGCAACTATTGCATTTTGGCCATTCAATGGCAATCTTTATGATTTGAATAATGTCTACTCTGGAACTTACTCTTCGGGATCACCTTCTTATGCTGTTGGTAACATCGATCAATCAATATCATTTAATGCAAGTTATTATGTTAGTGTGGATGCACGTTTCCTCAATCTAAGCTATCAGAGTTGGACTATTGAAGGGTAAGCATTATATTCCATAAACTATGATTATTATCGTTGGATATTGATATCTCTTTGTTAGGTGGATCATGTTATTTGATGTATCTAGTGAACGTGGTATTTTCAGTCAGTGTCAATCGTCGACAACAACTGACAAATGCTTGAATTTAAGTGTTAAAAATAAGCGTTTGTATTCCAGTTTCTACAATGATGATGTCATCGGTGCCACTTTTTTAACGACATCATCGTCCAAATGGCATCATATAGCTTTCGTTTATGACTATACTTTGATGAAGCAATCAATTTATCTCAATGGAGTTCTCGATGGAACAACATGGGAATCTGGAAAACAATCTGGTCCATATAAAGGAACTACAGGTACTGTTATGATTGGTCGAACATATAGTGGATCTTACTTCAGAGGCATCATTGATCATTTGCAAGTAACAAGTGGTGCGAAAACGACTTGTCAAATTTTGAATGATGCAATACTTACTGCCTATTATTCATTTGATGCTAATGATTTGAATCTTGACCTCAGTAACAATTATTTTAATGGAATATCTAATTCAATAAGTACTGTATCTGGTCGTATTAATGAGGCCTATTTTTTTCAAGGAACATCATCTTATTTTCAGTCGACGGCATTTACAGCATATAGTTCTGGAGAATCATTCAGTATTTCTTTATGGGTAAAACCATATTCTGTCTTAGGTGGCACATTGATTCATCTATCGACTAATAGCGATGGTTCAGGTACAGCTTGTTTCGACCTTTTGGGATTCAGTACAACAGGTCAATTAATCGCAAATTTATACAATATATATACGTGCTGTATTTGTCCTTGTTATTCTAGTATTAGTATTGGTGGTCCAATTATGAATATAAGCACATGGACACATATTGTTTTAACATATAGTTCGAGCAACGGTATGGCACTTTATACAAATGGAACATTGAGTGTTGTCAATGATGCCTTCACATCATTTCCTTATAGCCCGTCTACTTTCATAAGTCGACCATACATGACTGTCGGAAGTCCATCAAATACAGCCTCATTGCCAACAGGATGTCTAGTCGGGAGTCCGGCTCTTTCCCCAGGTCATTATCAAGGTATCATTGATGACTTGCGAGTTTATAGTCGAGAACTAACATTATCTGAAATATGTTCGTTGTTTAATCCATAAAATAAATCTTATGATATTACGTTTTATTGAATTCAAAGAACGAAAGCTCTTTTTCGGTTACATTCATTTTAATCATACTGTTTATTTTTCTCGCCAACACTTTTTTTTTATACATTAACCAAAGTATTTCAATTTTTTAATTGTATCTGCTTACTTTCAAATAAAGCTCACATGTTAAATTATACCTATTTTGTCTATTAATTTCAGAAAATAAATTCTAATAATACATATATTGCATCAGTTTCAACTTAAATGAGTACGGAATTGATTCGATTTTCAAGTATTGTTTGATACTGTTGGAACCTAATTAATTATACATAACGAGGATAAATTTATCTAGAACCATTCTTGAATAACATATCCTAAGAAGAACAACTAGATGATGTTTTACCTGTTTTTTTTTCTTCTAAACTATTTCATCTAAAACGAATGTCTTGTATAGCGAATTGAGATTACTCATAAGGATCATGTTTAGTTTAATAGTTACTTATAAAAGATATTTATACTAACACATCAATAAATTACTATCATGGTCTTTTGAAATTAAAACTTATATAATCATTCATGCCAGTGGATGTTCGTAGATTTTTTTGATAAGTAATACCCAAAGCAAATTAAGGTTTTGTGGAAGGCCATATCGTGAAACTCGTATCAACTTTGGTGAGTTTTAAAAAAAAAGTCAACATATAAATGGTGTTTTGAGAATCGATGATAAATCAGTCTGATAAATCGAATTTAATCATTGACTTTAGTAACTATTCATGTGTTCAATTACAATTCATTATTCATCTTCGACGTTTTGGAGCACAATGTACAGCATAGATAATTCAATTAAAAACCTTAGTTTGGTCAACTTTGGGTTTACAATGTGAGAAAGAATTTTTAGATGAATATCTAACGGAGAATTCGTGTCATTTTTCAAATAGTATAGTTATTTTTTTGACTGTAATCGATCGACAATGATGAAATATCATCGATCTAATTAGATAAAATTTATTCGAAATTTTAAACAAAATTGCAAAAGAATTTTTCGATGCATTTTGTTCTAATTTTTTTTATCGTCTTTGACAAATATTTTTAATCAAATGATTTTATTTATTTTTGCTCTAGATACTGCTCTTTCTAACAAAAAGACAATGAAATTTCTACGGCATTTCATCACAGCCAAATATATTCAAAAAAACAAAATTAATGCAGAACTTTTACATTACCCATTATTTAGCAATGAAAACTTCAGTTTTAATAATATCACTTAAAATAATAACTCTTGTATATTGAAAAATATTGACAATTATTTCAATTAAAACAAAAATTTTGAAAATCAATTTTCTTAGGTGCAAGTATCGGCTTTGACTATCATACTGATACTACTTATAGTTTGTCAAAATAAAGAATGTGTTTCATTCTTTTTAAATATATGATTTCAATACAAAAAAATGTTCATAAATAAAGTGTTTGGATATATATGCAAATCTGCATATATATTTATATTACACAGATTTCATCTTTCTGTTTTCGTTCATTCGTTTCTATATTGTCTTTTTGTATAATTAAAAGAATATTTTAATCAAAAATGCTGCAATTGACTTTATTTTCACGAAGTGTTATGCACGAAATAGAAAAAAAAAAGTTTCATAGATAGTTTATACTACTCAACTGCGTTCTGAGAAAGAAAAGAAAATACCTGTAGGAAGCGAATAATGTAAAACAGAATTATGCTAAAAAAAATGTGGAAATCTCAGATTTAAATCCGAGTGTTATGTATACTTCAAAAAGTAAGCAAGTGAGTCATCATAGCATGTGTAGACATAAAAATCATCCTAGCAAGCCATTTTTCTTAAAATTTGATTTCTATTGGTTACTGTTCAACCAATAAGATTTCTAGGGAAGTGGAGCTCAGATTGAAGTTCTCCACCCCAGAAAACCTTTGTTCAAGTTTGATAAAACCTGGTAGTATCGCTTCTCTGATTAGAAGATGATGTTTTGATTTTCGATCGATCAGAGCGTGGACAAACACCGAAGCAATTTCCGTTCAAGTATCTTTGCAATAGGTGACTTAGCCTTCTTGTTTCTTAATGTTTTATATACCATTTTGTAGCCCGTGAAATTCTCTATCGAATGGTATATAATAGCTGACGTTTGGTTTGATTATGAGAGAAAAAGTTTTTTTACAAAAACCGGAATAGGTCAATATTCGCATAGAAAATAATGATATTTTTTGTGATAACTCAGCAATTTCTTGACGAATCATTCTCATCTTCGAACTCGACTGGAGATATCAATGAGATAATTCTATGCAGAAAGTTCCATGATGATTGGTTCATATTTTCGAGTGTTATCATGTAAACGGCCGGCCGGACACACTGACCGATTCTATACTGTACTCACTGTTTGAGTACACAACAAGTTGAACATCGGTACAGATTCCTATGATTTAGGACAAAAAAAAATTGATTGTAGGATCATATTGAAAAAAAGCAGATGTCATTAATTTACAGTAGTTAAAACGGCTCGAGTTTAACCTGACTCTTATCATTATTCATTTATTAACAATTTATGTCAATTGAAAATTCACCAGTATGATCTTTTGTAGTTCAAAAAGTACCATGAATACTTTCAAGAACAGCTAGAATGAAAGATGTAGCCGCGCAAAAATCAACTTCGATCAAGATAATACTCATGTTAGCATTGTAAGGCTTACATATCTTGATGTTTTTATTTTTAAAAAAATTAAGAATTCTTAATCTACAGGAAAGAAACGTCAAGTATAATCGCATTCACTTCTTTAATGTTGACTTTTGAATTATTAATCTGTACTATTGTTGTTTTGACTGTACTTTTTACTACGAAAAAACAAACGATCATGCATAACTTCAAGTGAGTGATTGAAACACACTAGAGATTCTCGTACTACTAAAGTTCAGTGGCACCTTCGCACTTATCTCTATTAATCGTAGTTGTGAGTGCTACTAAACTGCAGATGAGAACAACTTATCAAAGTTCTACTTATCATCTGAGAAGAAAAATCAAACGAGTTAAGGTTTCTGATTTCTATCTCGCTCAATAATAAGATGCAAGCTATCAATTCATGCAATCGTTTTTGTCACTCATCTTCAAGCCATTATAATTGATCCGTCCTTAAGAAGGTCTTTATTCGTTTTGAAGTCATTTATATGAAGAACTTTTCAATTATGTTCATACAAAACTAACTGTGAATCTTTGATATTCTAAAATAGAGAAGAATGTTGGGGGCGGAGGGGGGGGGGGGGGGATTTGGTGTTTTAAAAAGTGGGGAGGAGGACAAAACCACACGGTGAATTTTTGTAAAAACAAAAAAAAAAAA